TGATAAGTGAGATTCATCAAAATGTATAGTTTTCAATCCATTAAAACAAATGTCCAAAGAAAATATTTGAAAGAGTATGTTAAAAGAGAGCATTGCTAGTAGTCCTAAGAAAATCTCATACAAGGTTTTTATTTGAATAAAAATTCAGATTTCTAATACAGGCATGTGTAAGATTATTTATTAATCTGATCATTGTTCCTTTTATTACACTAAGCAAGATTTAAAAAATGATTCTTCAAAGGCAACAAGCAAATAAGAAAAAGGGAGAGTAATTAACCTGAAAGAACTGCTTGTAAACTGTCAGTGAAAATGGAGAGAGCAAGCAGAGGGCTCATAACAGCCACGTAATGAACAACAACACGGTCATTGCTATAGGCATAACCCAACACATGTCTGCAACCGTACAGCATTGCACATACAATGAGACCCTCTGTCACTGCAATGAACATCGTTACAGCAACAGCCACTCGAACTGCTTTTGGATTCCCTGCTCCTAATTCATTCGACACTCTAGTGCTGTCACATACAATACAATTAATGTGTCACTTTTTAGTTACTATGTTTGCATTGCATGCTAATATTATAGTTTGATCGAGTGAGAGACAGACCTAACAGCTGCCCCAAAACCATAGGATATGGTGAAATGTAATGTGGAGATTGTCAAGCTGACAATGCAACAAAATAAACTAAGTTAGAGTGGGGTAAATTTAATTCGTTGTTTCATCTAAATAATTATGATTCTTTTCTGAAAATATCAAATTTAAATTTACCATATAGATAGGACTGATGTCTCCAACTTTGGGTTAGGAAAAACTCCAGCCAGCAAAACAAGAATCTCGCAGGCCCACCATTTAAGACTGTAAACAAGACAAAATTTTCAAGATGATGATTGTGCTGAACATATGATTCCATATAAACTTCCAGATTTTGTTAATTCATATAGTTAAAACGTGAACCAAAAAAAACAAAAAAAGAAAAAAGTTACCAAACCATCACTGCTGAAGGGACAGCATAGCGAAGAAACTCTCCAACGCCAAGCAAAGCTTTGTTGGAGAAAGGGATGCGTGTGTTGTTACAAGCTGAGGAATACCTCACAAAGGACAAAAGCAACATCACATTCAACCAAACGCAGAAGCTGAAGGCTATTGCGGCACCAACATGGCCCAAATCCAGTTTAAATACAAGGATCCAACATGTTACAACGTGGAAGCACAGAACTGCAGCAGAGCTTAGAATCATGGGAAAAATCAAACTCTGGGTCTGGAAAAATCGTGTGAGGGGTTTGAGAATTGCAGAACCAAATAGAGCAGGGATTAGCCAAATGGCATATTTACGAGCTTGAAGGGAGATCATTGGGTCTTGGCCACAGAGGATCAATATTTTGTCCAAGAAAGTCCATAGAATAGTGATTGGGATAGATACCAAAGAAAGGGATATAATGGCAGTGTAAGTGTAAAGTCCAAACTTTTCATATTGTCCTGCTCCAAATGCTTGCCCACATAAAGTTTCCAATCCACCAGCCATCCCTGACTGCAATATTTACCCAAGTGAATTAAATGACTAATGCACATTGTTATAGTGCAAACAATTTGGTTTTCAGAATTTAATTGAGATTCAGTTCTGTTATATTGTGACAAAAGTAAGAGAGATGTTTTGGTGAAAGGTGAAATGAATTTGAAGACACCCATGAGAAAGAGTTTCTCAACTAGTGTACCAACATCTTTTAGTTCTTAAGACAACTATAGAATTTCTCAAACACAAGTAAACCCTAAATCATAAATTGTAAACACAGTAATAGGAAGAAAACAAGAGATGCCATGGATGAAAGATTTGGCTCAATTGTTAGATCAAATTATGTCTGCACCTGGGATTTTTTAATTGTTGGTGACATCATCTATTCGTTTTGAATAAATTTGTATTTTTGGTTTTTTAATAATTTTTATCTATAATTTTGGTTTTATCATTTTCTTTGTAAGTTTAGTTTTCATATTTAAAAAAAAATACAATTTTGGTTAACAAAAATTCAATTTTCATATATTTATTTATATCAAAGGACTAATGAAACCTTATAATTGATATATTCATCTAGGGTATTATTATAGGAAGATAGTTTAATCAATTAAAATATAAAAATAAAAGAAGTAAACCTATGTAAAATTGAAAATGGAAGCAAAACGTGTAATTTTATATGTGATGAGAGTCGTTTAGAAAAAAATGTTTGAATTAATTTGGAAAAAAAATAATGATTTAAAAAGGGTTTAAGAAATATAAAATGAAAGGTGCAAGTAAATCCTGATATTAGGACTTTCTAGTTTTATGGACAAAATAAATATATATCATCAAGCAAATTTACAGAAAAAAAAATAAAAATTAGAAAAGGCAAAACTCATAAATCATAAAAAATTAATTAGAGATTTTTTTATTCTTCTAAAGTATAAGAAAAATATCATGAAGGAGTACAAATCCAAAAATAATAATAATAATTCTCTTCATCTTCCCAAAAAAATATGTTTCAAGAATATAAAAAGACAATTAAATAGATACTTATCACATATTTATTTAGTCAAAATTTCTTATACTGAAGTTCCTTCATCTCTTTTGGTAAGGACTTGTGTACATGTGTTTTACTTGTTTATAGTTAATAATTAGTCTTTCAAAATTCAAAACACTTTTTTTTTTTCAGATGCAACCAGAATCACTCATGTGATGGAAAATAGTGTATTTCAAAATTAAAAACAGAAAAAGAAAAAAAACTACTTACCAAAACACTAAAGCCAGAAACATTGGTGAGAGAGGTTGCAATTGCAACACTTGAGAGAGAAAGCTGGTTAAGATGACCAACCATCATGAGTGACACCACTTGAAGAAGATACTGCAACACACTTGCAACCACCATTGGAGCTGCTATTGCTCCCACCTTCTTCATCTCCTCCTTCATTCCTCTCTTCCATGATGAACCTTCTTCCGTCATCACTGTCTTAATCATCTTCATTCCCACCACCATCAACTTTCCGCACTTTTCTATGCACTCATCACTTTCTACTCTCTTTGCCTCCACCTTTGTCCCCTTTTACAAACATTACATGACAACTTTGCGTTATCATTTTCACGACTCACGCAACCATATATTTTTAAATAATAAACAAAACAACCATACAAATTAGTAAAGAGAATCTTACACCTTCAACCGCAACGTTGATAATTTTTTTTAACATACCACGTTCAAAAATTCGTTCAAGACAAAATGAGTTTTATTTTTAAGATATATACAACATTTGAACACTATGTTAAATGTATCAAAATATTTATAAACAAACCTGTATATTTGTAGCATTATTAAAAACTAAATCACATAAACTGGATCAATGCATTGATCTATCTGCATATGCTTCATTGAGAGTGATGATATATATATATATATATATCAAATGGAGCATGCAAGCTGGCTAATATAATATATAGTATATATGAATCGACATGCCTAGGAGAAGCTTCTGTGATTTAGATAAAGTAATATCAACTGGTAGGACCTTCAACAACCCCTGGATAGTCTATGGAATCATATTTATTTATGGGTCCAATAGGAAATATTAATCATGAATATTATTTGGTTCAATGGAAAGTTTTGTTTTTAATAAATTTAGATTTTTTTCTCTCTCCCGTGATTTCGCTCTTAATTACATTTAAAAAACCTGAAGATTTATTATAATTAGCAATTTTCATATATATATATATATATATATATATATTGTTTTGAAATGAAATTTAGATCTAACATATTTATATTAAAATATAAAAAAAAAAACTTACAACTATTGGTAATTAAAATATAAAACATGTCCTTTAAGAGATAGTTTTCTGAGTATTCTCATACATTATTTTAATTGATAAAATAGAGATTCAATACAACAAAATCTTAATAAATAATTACTTACCTGCTTATTTTATTGATTTTGAGGATTCTTTGTCTAATTATTCAGGAGAATCCTCATTTTAAGAAAATTATTACACATATCACCATTAATTAACCAAATCTCACTCACAATAATTCTCTGTTTCCACACAAAGCCAAACATCACCAACTGAAACTAAACTTAGCAATCATGTTACAAAATAAATATTATTTTATTATTTATATGCAAATAAATACGTGTATATTTTCATAAATATAAAATGTAAACATAGAGACTCGCTTTTGAAAATATTGATTATACATTTTTTTATATTTTAAATTTATTATAGAATTTGTGAATGAGACAATTGATCACTTTTAACATTTGTTCCTTCGTTTATTATTTGAGTCAATCATATAAGTTAAAAAAAACCAAGTAATATTATTAAATAGATTAATAATTGTTATTTAATTTGTTTGATTATAGATATTTTAAATTAAATTTAAAATTTTAATATTACTAATTAAAATTAACTAATTATATGTACAGAATAAAAATAATAAGTACTAATAAAATTGATCACAAACATATTAATAAGATTATAAAATTACACAAAATCTTAAAAAAATAATATAATAAATAAAAAAATTGAAAAAAATCCAATAATTATATTTTAAATGACATATATTTATTTTATTTAATAAAAATATTTATTGACAAATATATTAGTGATTGATATTTCTAATTTTTAAATGATAGAAAGGAAAAATATCTCTTGATACACTATTATATCAGTTGATACACTGTGTGGCTAGGGGTTTATGTCCAAAAGGCCAAAGTTCAAGGCCCAAAATATAACGAGTTTAAGGCCCAAAAAATAACAAGTTCAAAGCCCATTATTATTATTCTTCCTACCTAGGCCGGATTAAACTTTTTTTATTCTTTCGGTTTCGTCACTCCCAAATGCGTTCCCTCAGCCTCTTTTCTCATTCTCGCCGCCCTCGGCTGCTCGGTTCATGAAAAGCTTGCTTCATTCATTCATCTATGCTCTAACTGCATGACGTGTTGTTACGGCGTGAACGGAGTTTTGTTTACAGAATAAAAAAAATGATAAAGAGGAGGTTCTTCAAGCTCGACCACGGTGATAGAGATGCCTCGGATCCATCTTCTTCTTCTTCCGACTCTGAGCTTGAAGCCGAAGCAGAATCAGCTGAAGAAGAATCAGAGGATGATGCTACAGCAGAAGTGAAACCAAATGATGATGAACCCGGTTCAACTTCTTCAGGTTGTTTTATTGATACTTCGTTAACTGTGTTTTTTTTTTTTTTTTTTCTTCTTCAGGATGGTTAATTGAGAATTCGGTCAACTTTGGTTTTTATTTGTTTCTTCTTCAAGTTGGTTTATTGTCAAGTTAACTGGGTCTTTTTTATTTCGCCCTGTAAAATGTGTTTATTAGTATTAGCACTTACTAGATATGTAGAATAGCAATAGCTGGTGTTACTTTTTTATTATGAAATCATAGAGTTCACTATTGGAGTGCCAGATATTTGTTTTTATTATGATGGTTTTTGTTATTTGTTAATGTTAGTCACTTTTATTTCTTTGTATTTTGGCACATTCAGGGTATGCAAGTGAGGATAGCTCTGCTAATGATGTTGATGTTGACTCAACAGGTACGTTTGCTGGCACACTAACACACTATTGTGTTTTATAAGTGAGGAAATTATTAACATTTCAATATTATATATGAAATAAATAGGGGTGTTAGCTATGCTGCTTATTTTAGTTATCCGCAAAACCAAATATAAATTTCAAATACGGTTTTATTTTTGAAAAAGTTCGAACAAAATCAAATCAATACTTTCTTCAGACAGATTTTATCGATATTTTTTATTATTAATTTATTAAGGTAATTATTATTCCTTAGGATATAAGGATTAAGATGCTTAAATATTAATAAGTTATTTAGTTAGAGGGATTAGTTAGATGTAGACAGGGGAACATGGACGAGAGAGATTCAGATATGCTCATGATAGATTGAGCATTTACTCTTTGTGAAGGAAAACCTATGGAGGAGAGCTTTCTCTTCTATTCATTTTTTTTTTTCATAAATAAAAATCTTTATTTTCTTTCTCATTTCCATTATTGGTTGGTTTTGACCTCAAGTCTTTTCCTTTTAACTCTATTAAATGAAATGAGCAACTTTTCAGAGATATGTACTCAAGAAAGAACCTTTATCCAGAAGATTTAGTTTGCCACTAGGGTTTGATCTTGTGCTTGTTTGGTTGAGATTTAAGTCTTGAGCTCTTGTACTCATTCAAAATTATTTTCTCATTTTACTTTTGTATGTCAATTAGATGTCTATTTATGGGATTGTAGCATCTGTAGTATTGGTTATTTCTGTAACTTCCATGGCTCTATTCCTTGAGAAAGGATTCTTTCATGATTGTTTTAACATTGACTTCAGGTATGCTATTCAGTGAAGATGATGCTGGAGCTATAAATGAAAAACCCATGCTTTTTAACAAGGAGTTGCTGAGTAAATGTGACACTGAAAAGTCTAATGTGATAACTGAACAGAAATCTTTGCTGGAAGATGTACCATCCTATGTCTTAAAACACAAATCAGTATTTAAGTGCAAGATATGTCCCCGAATTACCTGTTTATCAGAAAACACTTTGAGGGATCATCTCCAATCAAAGGTAATATCTTACTCTTTTGGTGGCTTATTATGCTTAAACAACAGCTTCGTAGTACTTTAGTTTTGAGAAGAAATTTATAAACTCCTATGTTATTGTTTCTTTATCAATTATCGTATTTATTACATACATTTGGCTGGAAATTAGTATTGGGTTTGAACTTTGATCTGGGAAAGGAAACAACATTAAGTTCATGGCTAATTACATACTCTATAAGAGGACTGCCACACTTTGGGATCCTCCATCCAACACATTGCTACATTTTTTTTATGTAATCTTTGTAAGAACAAAAACTGATCACACCATTGCATGTAAATCCGACAAAATGATGGTGCTATATATTGGTGGCAACGAGTTTAGATTAGTATTATAACAAAATTTAGGATAAATGTTGGTGGGAAGGGACGGGAAATTGTCGTGGGGCTCCTCTAAGTGAGGGACAGTATATAACTTGGGTCAAAATGGCATGATTCTCTGCAAAGGATGTGATGAATGTAAGTGTAATTTATCTAAGGTATTTATTTTTTATGGGTTGAAAGATTTGTCTTTCATAGCAGATAAAGAGAAGATGTTATTCTAATGGAACACTGGAAAGATAAATCAGTCTAATCTCCTTCCCATCATAGCATAGCCACGACTACATAATAAATTGAATCAAAGAGAACGATTAATTTTTCCCCGAAGCTAGCGTTTTTCTTTCTTTTATGAAACCTAGGATACTAACGTTAATAGTGTTTTACTCTGGTCTAATATACCAAAAAACACACTTTATATATGTTGTAATGCCAAAGGTTGTTCCCTCTGTAGGTTGGAGGACTTGCTTTTAGGTTGTGTTTGCTGAAAGTAATCGTAATAATTCCAAACTAAACCACGTTATCGTGAAATTTTACAATCTTTGTTTTATCACTTAACTTTTTTAGGATTAGTACTTTTGTTTATAAAAAGTTACTTTCCCATGTTTGGTTCAAATAAAAAGTTTCCAACATGCCTTTTCAAAAATGCTCTTAATTGAAATGATAAATTTTCCGTATTTATCAACTTTTCCTTGTGATTGTGTAAAGCTTCTTATTGATGGAATGATGTAATTACTGTAGAGACATGCTCGATCTGAAAAACTACTTAGTGAGGGTAGACTGAAGGCTGTTCTCAATAGTGATGGTGAAATTGAGAATCAAGAGGTAGCAGAGATCCAAACTAAAGATACCGATGTTGGTTCTTCAACAGCTCAATTTCATTTTACTGCAACTCGTCTAAATTAAAAACTTAATCATTTATGAATCTTTTAGGATAATGCTGAGAAGAATCGCAAAGGGCAGAAGCAGCATAAAAAAAGATTGAGAAAGAAGGTAAAGCACATTCATTTTTCGTTTACAAGGCAGTTTAAATTGAAAATTTTAAACTGTTAAAGGCTTATGGAAATGTTTTTGAATGGCAGAAAAGTGACAGACCAAGGACAAGGAAAATGCCTTCAACGAAAGGAACTGCCAAGAGAAGTCGAAATAAATGACAACTCTAATCTGGTAGTTTATTCAACACTTTGTGGAATTTTGCCGCCGCTACCAACTACCTGCGTGTGCAAAGTTTGCGTGATATATATACTCTACTGAGATGCTTCTTGAACCCCTTTTAACCTTCTGTTTAATATTTTCCTTTTAAAAAAAAAAAATTGTTTGACGTTGCCCTCAACTTCCTACAATGTCTGAAAATATTTATTTTTTGCTTTTTTTTCTGTAGCATACCTTGTAACCGAAATCAAAGTTTCTTTGTAAAGACTTGCCTACTAAAGATTATTCAGAAGTTAAATTGGCTGTGTTTTTTAGTCAGAATATGTTTAATAGTATTCATATTGAACCCTAACTGTGATGCCATGCCTCAAGCATCTAAGGTAATCAATCATTTTACCATAAGCACTAGCGGCCGGGCTATGCTTGGATCACGTTTAGTTTCGGAGTCCGGAGTCTGGATTTAATGTTGATTGACAGTTAATGGTGTGTACTATACTATCTATCATTCAACCAAGTAATTTGACTGTCATAGTTTAGAATCTTTAAATCTCTATAAAGATATGCTAACATGTCCTTTATATGGATTTGGACTAAATAGAAATGAAAAAAAAAAAAAAAAGGTGAAAAGCTATAACTAGTATTTGATTTTAATTGGAATAAGACATGAATCTGCGCAATAGTTTGTGAAATAATTTTACTTCATAATATTCTTGAGTCTCTTATTCACAGTTTTGACCGTTTATTTTTGTATAAAGTGAATCTCTTATCTTAAAACAAGTCAAATCCATTTTTGATGATGTCTAAAATCTATCGCTGTCAATGAATGGATTGGATTTAAACTCTCGTTAATAAGAATTAATGAAACACATGCACATTTTATAAAATATAATTTGATTATATCAAAATAAATATTAAGAGTAAAATATTACGTAATATATTATAAAAATGTATATTATAAATTGCTTTAATTTTGAAAAGTTACACAGTTAAAATATTGAATCAACTAGCCTTACAAGATGTATTATAAATTTATATTTTATTGAATAATTAAATTGTTTTTATTAAATAGAAATAAAATTGTCTACTAAACGACAATACAAAAATATTAAAAAATAAGATTTTTTATTTAAAACAATATAAAAAGAATTCTCAATATAAATATTAGATTATTCTAGTTACAGGCTACTCTTAGGAAGATAATCTTTGAGCATTGTTTCATGCCACAAATAAAATGATATCTGGAACATTTACATTTTAGCCTCTATAATATATTAGTTTTGGCGCCAGCCACACTTCGTATAACTCATAAGCACCTCGTAACTTCGTTCGTCAGAAAGAAAAGATCCTTCCATTTCCGATTCTTGACCCGAGGATCTCTTCCCTCTTCCATTCCAATTCCTTCTCCAATGTGATAGATTACTCTTCTAACTTCAATGGATTCTCAAACCCTAGACTCCACCCAGCTATTCCTCACCGCCCTCAAAGCCCTCCAACCCCAACCCCCTCCACCACCATCCACCTCTCTCTCCCCACTCCCCTCCTCACTCCCTAACTCCAAACTCATCCCCCACACCCGCTTCCTCGTCGACGCCTTCCGCTACGCCGGCCCCCACTCCCACTCCTACTTCCTCTCCCACTTCCATTCCGACCACTATACCGGCCTCTCTTCCTCTTGGTCTCGCGGCATCATCTTCTGCTCTGCCATCACCGCCTCTCTACTCCGCCACGTCCTTCGCGTCCCCTCCGCCCTCGTCGTCCCCCTCCCCCTCCGCCAACCTCTCCGTATTGACGGCGCCCAAGTCACCCTCCTCGACGCCAACCACTGTCCCGGCGCCGTCCAGTTTCTCTTCGCTCTCCCCTGTGCCGATGGAACCACCTCTCTCAGGTACGTCCACACCGGCGACTTCCGCTTCTCTAATTCCATGGTTTCGGAACCCGCCCTTGCTCCCTTCGTCGGTGCCGATGCAGTGTTTCTCGACAGCACATATTGTGACCCTAAGTTTGTATTCCCCTCGCAAGAGGAATCCATTGATTACGTTGCCAGTGTTGTGGAGAGGGTTGAGCGTGAGTGTGATGGTTGTAATGATAAAGTTTTGTTTCTTGTTGCTACTTATGTTATTGGGAAGGAGAAGATTTTGCTTGAGCTTGCACGTAGGTTTAAGAGGAAGATACATGTTGATGCTAGGAAGATGGAGGTTTTGAGGGTTCTTGGGTATGGGGAGAGTGGTGAGTTTACTGAGAATGGGTTGGAGAGTAATATTCAAGTTGTTGGGTGGAATGTGTTGGGGGAGACTTGGCCTTACTTTAGGCCTAATTTTGTTAAGATGAAGGAGATTATGGCTGAGAGAGGGGGGTCCTACTCCAAGGTTGTGGGCTTTGTTCCAACAGGGTGGACCTATGAGGTGAAGCGCAGTAGGTTTGCAGTGAAGTCCAAGGATTCATTTCAGATTCATCTTGTGCCCTATAGTGAGCACTCGAACTATGATGAGCTCAGGGAGTATGTGAAGTTTTTGAAGCCAAAACGGGTTGTTCCGACTGTGGGTTTGGATGTTGAGAAGTGTGACAGTAAACATGCTGACAGAATTAGGAAGCATTTTGCTGGATTGGTCGATGAGACTGCTAATAAGCATGAGTTTTTAAGGGGTTTTTGTCGTTCACCGGGTGAATTGGGTTTCAAGGTTGAGAAGGGTGTTAGTGATGCTCTGGAACCAGGTAAAAGCGTAGACAAAGAAGTCATTCCATTGGAGGAGCCAGAAGGTGGTAAAAGTATTGATCCAGATGTGGCTGAGGGTTTGTCGTCTTTTATGGGAGATACTTGTACACAGGATCCTTCTTTGCTGAATGATGAAGAAAAAGAGAAAATAATTCAAGATCTTAGTTGTTGTTTGCCCACATGGGTCACCCGAAACCAGATGCTGGATATGATCAGCATCTCAGGGTGCAATGTCATTGAAGCTGTTTCTAATTTCTATGAACGTGAAACTGAATTCCATGAGCAGGTGATTTCCTGTCAAACTCCTGTTTCAACATCCAATTTCTGCGCATCAAATGACACTGATTCACTTGCAAAACCTAGCCTTAATAATACAAACAACACTTGCAAAAATATTGACATTTTCCCAAGTCAAGGCTCTAAATTAGCTATCCTGAGGCATAAAGTACCTAGTCCCATTTCTCCTGCCAAAAGGAAACGAAGTAGTGACAGTAAGCAAAACAAAAAAGGCAAAGCCACAGCCAAAGTCAAAACAAAATCTGAACCAAGTGGTTCGAAGCAGTCCACAATTACAAGATTCTTCAGTAAAGTAATACCTGAGATGTCCGGTGGTACTCAATCTGATAATTCTGAACTAAAGCTTGACCAAAGCTCTAATGTTGAAGACTTGTTGCCAACTGATGTTGGACAAACATACGATGATGAAATTGATCAATTTATGCAGATAATAAATGGGAATGAGTCATTAAAAAAACATGCCATCACTATAATTAAGAATACTAAAGGAGATGTCAATAAGGCATTGGATATATATTACTGTAGTCCTGAAAATTTTAGGGAAAATGAATTATCAGTTCAAGGGGAGAGCAAAATTGATAGACCTTTGTTGAAGAAGCCTGCATCAGAGCAATTGAGAATTATACCTGATATTTCTGGGCAGAAAGTGTTAAAGGATAATGTTGATGCTACTCAACTATCTCTACCACCTGACAAATACAACCCTAAAGAACATGGTTTGTTTTAGTTTTTCTTACGCGGATATATTGGTTGGTTTAGAAGATGTTCAACCTACTGCTTTTACTTCTATTTTACTTTTTATATTCATGTTCTGTCTTGAAACATATGTATATAATTGACATAATTGAGCAGCATGTTGGAGAGATGGACAGCCTGCACCATATTTACATATTGCACGAACCTTCAACCTGCTTGAGGGTGAGAGAGGAAAGATTAAAGCTACTTCATTGTTATGCAATATGTTCAGAAGGTTCACTTGTTACTAGTCACACTCTTTGTATTATCCATTGCCACTCTCCTTTTTATGGAATAATGTGACAGTTTTTTCAGTAATTGGATAATTGAGGAACATTATTTGCATGCAATGTTTCTATCACACAGCTTGTTGGCTTTATCTCCAGCAGATGTGCTTCCTGCTGTGTATCTATGCATAAACAAAATTGCTCCAGACCATGAAAATAAGGTAGGTTTGTTTCTGGTTTTGATAATTTGGGCTTATAATCTTTATCATTGATGAGAATGGAACTTCAACTAAGTAATTCGAAAATAAATGAATAAATAGAAGTAAAACATTTATCCTTTCCTTTGCTCTTTTATATGTGTTGTATCAAGATTTTGATGTCTAGAACCTGAGTTCCTTATTGATGACACTTTGTTATATATGACATTTTAGTCCTTCATTGTTGCTTGAGGGTGCTCTTTATATCAAAACTGGCCATTTTGCATGTCTAGTTTTTCTTTAAACTGCTATTCCTTTTTCTTCATTTTCTTTGGTTCACAACAGCAAGGAGTGTAGCCTTGATTTCAACACCCTAGTTATTTATTTATTGCTTTATGATAATAGAGGGGAAAAGAGCTCCTTCGTGCCTATGTATTTAAAAGAAAAAAGTTCAATAATATAAATGGTTAGTTTGCATGACACAGTTAAAGATATGCTTGGTTTGAAAAGTGTAGTTATAATAATAATAATTATTGAGGGCGATATTATAGGGGCAAAATAGAACAAGTATGTGTGCACCAAAGCTTGTATCCCCTTTATATGTAGCTATAAATAACATGTGATAATGCAGGAAGCAGGGTCCACTATGTCACTCTGCCCGATTTTTCTTCTCCTCTTGAGGCGAAGAGTATTTCCCAGTTCTAGATTAATAAAATTGACACTAAAATCTATCAACCAATATAAAGATCGCTTTATTTATACCATAAAAATATCTTCTTCAAACATAGATTACTGTTTCTGGTTTGTTAATTGGTTAAATTTGACTGTCGATATAGGAGGCTACAGTATTTCAATAAGTGTTATTATGCACTGATAAAGCTTCTTACATTATACTCTTCATGTCAGGAACTAAATATTGGTGGAAGTTTAGTCACTGCGGCACTTGAAGAGGCATGTGGAACAGATCGTTTGAAAATAAGGGAGATGTATAACAAATTTGGTGATCTTGGTTGGATGACTGTTTTCATGATTTTTTGCTGTTTTACTACTAAATCTGTTCCATCTGTAAGGATTTTTAATAACTGAAATAACCTGCAATGGTTAAAGGTGATGTTGCTCAAGAATGTCGTCGAACACAGAGATTGCTTGCACCACCTACACCACTTCTAATTAAGGATTTTTTCTCTGCGCTACAAATGATTAGGTATTAACGGCCATTCTGTTTTGCATGGTTATGAATGATTACACAATGGATATAATACTACCCAATTATCTGTTCTTCAAATATTTAGTTAAAGTTGTTACTAGACTTAGGACCATAGTGATGCCTGTATGTGGTAACTTGTTTAAATATAATTCAAATGTTTGTATTGCTCTTTAGTTAGGTAAACTTTTAGTTTTGCTCTACATGCTCTTATGTAGTGTGCATCAGTGTACAAACAGGCAGTGGAAGCACATCTCGGAAGAAAGGCATCATTGTTCATCTCATGCATTCCTGCCGGGAGAAGGAGATAAAGTTTGTTGTTCGGACCTTGGTAAATATCTTAATTTTTTTGTGTGTGTGCATATACTAGGTGAGAGGGAAGTTTACCCCATTCCAAGATCAAAGCACTTAGAGTCCAGATTATTATGTTATGTATTTATCCTTATTAGGTGTGCCATGAAACTTATTAATGACTTATAGTGGCACTTACAGATCGTTATGCTTAGGTATTTATCCTTATTTTTAGATAAATTTCATCAAGGTATGCGTATACTGCTTCAAATGGGTATGTGGAAAAAAATATTCTGAGTGAGGTATTTGGATTTTGGTTTTACCTTATCTCAAAACAGATAAGAAATGTCTTGATTTTTTGCTACGGTGCAGACATCATATATATCTTATTGTGATCATAAACATGAGAAAGGGGTGTTCTCAGACCAATAAAGAATGAGAGGTTGACAAAGAAGGAAAGAATGAATCATATTTTATGAATTGACCCAGCCTTTACCTCACTTTATTTTTTTAATTGACCAGTGTGCCATTAATCACGTAGAATAAATCCCATGGTTATCATCCTTGATTTTTGGGTCTCCAACTTGATACACAGGACTTGTAATAGTTGTGCACGCCTAATAATCCTTTTTCTCATGTCATGTCTTAGATTGCTTTTGTAATGATTTGTTTTTTTTTTTTCTTTTTGGTTTAATGCATATTGTGTGCAAAATCTGTTACAAACTAAGATGATCAAGTACTCAGTATAACAGATTTAGGAATTAATTGTAAGAAAACATGCGGGAAAGAAAGGTAATAGAGAAGAATATAAATGCAACAGGAAGAATGGTCCTTCACTGCTACCCACAGAGCTACGCTCCAATAGAGACAAATATTCCCTACCCACTGATTTCTTACTCCTTTTCTCCCCCCCTCACACTACATGACACTCATCCCTAAATAACCGAATTTCCCCCATCCCTCCTAACAAACTTACTCTTCTAATAATTTCTCTTTCCTCAAGCAAGAAGAGTCACATTCCTTTTTTACCCTTTCTAGAATACACATACCACACTTTGGGTCCATGACTTAGCTGATCTATCACTGGGCCTCTATCAAAATCATTGTCAAATATGTTTAATCTGAGTACAACACTGTATTTATACATATTACAAAGCAGCAAGCTAAGCCAATCATATTACACTGATAGCTCAGCCTAGCTAACTGATAGGTAGTCTGTTTTCTACTAGAAACAGAATAGAGAGCCACTGAGTGATACCCACATATACTCAAACAGAATTATTTTTGTGTCTTATTGTATGACAACATCCCTCTGACAAATATTTGAAGGAATGATGCAATTTGTATTTTACACCCAAAATAATCAAGTTCACAAGTTGGCAGTTCCCTTGCATGCCTTATCTATCTTCTGTCCACCTTCAATTTGGAGATCCGACAGTTTCAATAGTTCCAACACCCTTTAATGAATGATGACTTAATGCTAGTCATACTTCATGCTGTTACTGAAGATAAAAGGTGAAGTTGTGGACATGAATCGCTTGTACCATCATTTACTGTATGCAATTAAATCCAAAACAGATTTAAATCCATTATATAATTTGTCACGGTATTCTATCATAAACCTTTTTTCACAATATGTGGCTTAGTTAGTTCATCAGCAGTCATATCAGGCTAGATTGAGTGACCTTCTCTCTACACATTACATTTGGATATCTACTGTTCTGAATGTACGAATATAATGGTGACTGGTGCTATGCTTCTCATATGCCTTTATATGAATAAATAGATAGATAGATTTATATGCTAGAGGCCAAGTTTTGCTTCATGTGTAGGTCAGGAACCTAAGAATTGGGGCCATGCTTAGAACTGTTTTACCTGCATTGGCTCATGCTGTTGCTATGAATTCTGGCTCTACTTTTCACCAAGTAGGAACTGCAGAAAATTTGAAGGAGAAACTTCAGGTCCATTCTGCAATCATCTGCTTTTACCCATCTATTAATGTGCTATTTTGTTTCCCTATCTACATTTTATGGTTGATATTATTTTATCATAATAATTACTTTTCATCTACCATTTTCTATGTAGAGGAACTTCAATTTAATAGAATAATAGGAAAAAAGAATATGTTAGTATATAAGATAACCTTGTCGGAGAATATAATTAGGAAAAAGCATGAGTAACATACTATACAAGGCTTTGTTAGAAGTGTTTATTTCATATATGTATCACATGCTGAAATGCTTTAATGTTCATGGTTTCTAGGAAGTTGCCTCACTTTTTATAATCCTAGTGAAATAATCTCCACTAATTCTGGGAGAGTCTATGTATATGGACTACATGCAGCTCCTATACATTGCATTCTCCCAGAACAAAAAGCTTTCCATTCTCTCATCAATTAGTTCCCTAACATTTTAAATGCCACCCTTCCAAATTCAACAGACATCATCAATATAGTAATTTATTTAAACCCATGGAACACCCAAAATTTTCCTTTTCACTACTTCGTATTAATGATAGAAGAAATATTCTCAGTTAAGAGGGAGAGAAAGTAGCAGAGGATAGTATTAATGACTTAAAAATTAACTAAAACTTAATGTACTCCAGGGCTAGAAAGCTACTCACTAAGCAAAGGTATGGGAGAGGGTCATTATGGGGCTTGTTTTGTTGGTAAAAATGCTCTAATAAAAGAAGTGACAATTGATATCTGTCAATAAATATTTTTCTCACCTTGCCAGGTTCTTTCTATGGAAGTTGTTGAAGCATATAACATACTGCCAAATTTGGTAAGTATTGTATATTTGAATTGTGAGTCTTGTGTTTATATCGATTTTCTGATTGAAATCATGGCATTATTGCATTCTTTAGGCTGTTGTCTAGACTCTACAGTACTCTCATCTAGAAGAGAGGAAGCTAGGCACTACGTTTCAGTGTTTCTAAGCAGCTGTTGTTGAAAGTGAGAAAGTATAAGCATTACAAGTTTACATCGACTGCATAATAAGATCAAATACTGACTATGTTTGATATAATTTAACCAGTAATTTCTCTTCAAATTCCAATAACTTTGTTTATATTGTTCTGATTTTCTCTTGATGATCTGTAATTAATATTTTGTTTTAAGGTTGATTCATGAAGGGTAATCTGCCTAGTTTTGATCCTATAAGCAATAACGTAGTATCATGATGTTAAAAATTTCCTTGTCATTTACTTTATGCAGGATCTCATAGTTCCATCTCTCATGAACAAAGGCATTGATTTTTCAGTTTCAAGTTTATCAATGGTTCCAGGAATCCCTATTAGGCCTATGCTAGCAAAGTATTTACTATTCCATATATTGGCCATTTCCTGAAATCATGATGATTTGATTTCAAGTTTCTAGAACCTTTTCTTAACTTCAGCGAGTCTTCACGAATCCTCTCTTACTTTATTAACACCCAATTGCTTCTTTCTTCCTTGTATTTTCCATTTCTTCATAGGATCACCAATGGTATTCCTCAAGCTCTGAAGCTATTTGAAAATAAAGCATTTACATGTGAATATAAGTACGCCCTATTCCTTAATTAGATGTTTTCCTTTTATCTTTATGCTCTTCACTTCTTTGTCGACATTTCATTGCATTCAACAATGAATATGAAGGAGCAAGTTGCCATTTAATATTTTGGTGGGATAAGGGTTCATATGAAGTTTCAATCACAACTAGTTTGTTGTTAAAGCAATGGGGTTCATAACATTGTAATTTTATCTTGCAATTCTATATCACTTCAAAATATGTATCTTAATGCTATACAGACTTGCAGGTAGGGATGTCAAAGTGAGTCAACCCGGCTCACATGGGTTGGCTCACCATGGTTGAGCTAAAAATAGGTGAGCTCAACCCGGCTCAATTTATGGTAAGCCAAAAATTTCACAATCTGGCTCAACCCATTATAGGTTGGTGGGTTAGGTAGGTTGACTCACTAACTCATATTTATTTTTTTGTTCTTCAATTTCTTTTCTAATAATCACAAATGAATCGCGGGATTGAAACACAATGGCGCTGAGACATGACAAACGCTGTGATGCGACTGAAACGTGACAAACGCTATGGTGCAACTGAAGCACGTTGTTGTGGTGTTGTGAATAATGTAGTGGTGCAACGAATGAGGTGACGAGGTAAACATTGTAATGTGACTAAAACACTATGGCGCGATGGCACAACAAACGCTATGATACGATTGAACCACGAGACTGAAACGCGACAAACGTTATAACACGATTGTGTGACAAACGCAACGAACACGATGTTGTAGTGGTGCGACGCACGGATGGCAAGAAGCCCAGGTGTAATGACGAACACAGTGGTACGACGAACTATTGATAAGCTTGAGTAAGAGTTTTGCTTGTAGCGGCAGCGTGGAGTAGAAGTAGGGAGGTAAGATAACATCAATTAAGATGACTAAATTATTATAGTTATTTTTAAAATTTAAAATGAATGGTGGGTTGCAGGCCAACCCACCATAACCTGGTTTGAACCCACTTAACCTGTGGGTTAAGTGAGCCGAGTTCATTTTTAACCCATTATCGGTAGAAATGAAAAAAATTGAACCCAACCCAGTTCGAACTCGTGGTGAGCCGGGTTGACTCACGGGTTACAACTCATATTGACATCCCTACTTGCAGGACAACATGATGTTAAGCTTCCTAACTCTCAATTCCAAAGTTGTTGCAAGTTGACTATTTAAAAAAATTGAGGAAACATCTTTCCTTAAAGTATCAAAATTAAGTAGATAATCTTTTAAAAATAGTGTTGAAGGTAGGAAAGCTGGTGCAAGGTAGGGTCATCAGATTTCTTGGGAAAAAAAAAAACTTTTAACCTTCTCCAGTTTCAAAATTTGAAATTCTAATCTGATTTCTAATTGTTAAGAATTTCTAATATGGTCGTCATAATAAGTGATTACTTGCATTGTACATAACTGAGATAGTATTAGATGCAAAAAGTCAGATAACTTCATGTTTAATCAGTTTTATTTGAACTTTTGTGGATTTAAAATTATGATCTTGTGTGCTTATTCTAGTAATAATATCTTTGAATGTGGTGATTTTATTAAGTTTTAAGATCCTCTTTGGCGTTACTTGACTCTCTTGTTTAAGAATGAATTGCATTTTTTTTTACATCACTTGTTGAATTGAGTTTAATTTAATCCCAGGTATGATGGTCAGCGGGCTCAAATTCACAAATTAGTTGATGGATCAATTCGTGTTTTTTCAAGAAATGGGGACGAATCAACTTCAAGATTTCCTGATCTGATTGACATAATTAAGGAATCCAGCAAGCCTGTTGCATCAACTTTCATATTGGATGCGGAGGTTCAAAAATTTCTTGCCATGATATTCTTTATATTTGTTCTTGTTAACTAAGCTCCTATTATTATTCATTAATAATTTTATGATTCTTGTACCTTTCAGGTGGTTGGTATTGACAGGAAAAATGGATATAGGATTATGTCTTTCCAGGAGCTATCTTCACGAGGGAGAGGTGGCAAAGATGCATTAGTTACTGCAGAGAGCATCAAGGTTGGACATTTGCATGTGGCTTGTGTAATACATGTCATTTGTATCAATTCTATTCTGTTCAAATTAAAAGACTTGATCTTAGAGGGAGCTCTGGATTTTCACATGGGTTTGGCATAAAGAAAATTACCCCTACTCAATAAATATCTCAAATCAACAAATTATCTGTTAGGAACCAAGAATTAAACAAAAAAAGAAAAGAAAGTTTCTTTATTGAATAGGATGAAAGAACAAGAAATAGAAAAAGACTCTCCTCCAAGGGTTTCCCCTTTAGAAAGGATTTCTCCTTTTACAAAGAGCTAATGCTCAATTTACAAAAAATATCCACACCCTTCTCCTATCCTTACACCCCATTTATATCTAAACAACACCTTATGCAACTAACTAACTCATTAATATGCGCTAACTATCTTATTAACTTCTCCTTCCCCTTTTACCTTAACAATACACTCTGCCAAAAAATCAACCTTGTCCTCAAGGTTGTATAGTAAAAACTTGATCCCATTGCTCATCCTCATTGCCATGATCTTCATTTACTCTTCCTGTTTACATGTGATGTCTCTTTTTGGTATAGGAATGAGAACCAGTGGCTATTGCATTCAAATTCAGGTCAGGTGGCTTGGGTGGTGGTGGAAATGAGGATGAATTTTGTATAACAGCCTTCAAACCTTCCTTCTGCATTGACACCATTGGCAAGTTGTGATCCAAAGAAGCAATGAAATTTAATGTTAAAGGATCGCCAAGAAAATTAAAATTCCCAAATTCTAATGTCATTGTTGTTCCAACCACCTTCACTATCAAGTTTGGATCCAACAACGATTCTTGATTCTTAATATGGAATTTCATAATCTTCACAGTCTTTATTGACGTAGCAACAACTTTCTTTGATATAATCTTTGCTTCTCTTGCTAAACTCTCTTCATTTTTGGTTTCTTCTCCACTATCAAGGGTATGATACTTGATTAGTGAGTCTTCTTCATAACATATTTTTTTATTTCAAGAATAGAAATGGGTCATCATCCCTCTCAAAACTGCCACTCTTAGAATCAAATTCCCCTTCTATGCTTTCAACAAATGTGGGTAGTTTCATCTTTCTTCGCCAAGAATTAATCTCTGCTGCAATGCATTTTGACCCGCTTCCCTCCATATTATTTTTTTCTTGCTCAACCAAATGTGGATCATCCTCCTCATATAATTTCAAGAACACTGTGGAAGTCTCCATTATTTTGCTGCATGTTTTAATCTTGGTTTGCTCTTCTTGCTTTATGGTAGTTAATCTTTCAAAGATGTGGCTACCATAGGTATCTTTGAATCTTTTTATCAAAGGTGTTGAAAAATATTCCCCATCTAAATCCAAGTTATCTTGATACCAATAATAGAACCAATGCATTGCCACACTCTCCATGCTCATGAATGCATGTTGCAGCTTATCAAAAGAATCAATTTCATGTACCTCAAAAGAATTTTTCAGCCCTAGCAATCCAACCAATTGAATCACTTCCTTCAAAAGTTGGCAGTTTCACCCTCTTCATCCAATGACGCTACACCTCTTCTTCCCCACCATCCGAATCAGATTCCTCACTACTCACCGTCCTTTCTCCTCTTTTTCCCCCATTTATAGAATTTTCACCTTTCTCCGAGCTTCTTTCTTTTTCCTTGAAGTGTTTCAACAAGTCTTTGATTTCTTGAAAATAATCTTGCATTTCCGAGATGATCTTCCCACACTTGCTGGACTATTTTTCCAAGGCAACAATTCTTCCTTCCATGATTTTCCCTTTTACGGATCTGGTAGGTCAGACTAATTGTTAGGAACCAAGAATTAAACAAAAAAGGAAAAGAAAGTTAATGCTCAATTTACAAAAAATATCCACACCCTTCTCCTATCCGTCACATCCTATTTATATCTAAACAACACCTTATGCAACTAACTAACTCATTAATATGCTAACTATCTTACTAACTTCTCCTTCCCCTTATATCCTAACACTATCTTTGGAATGTTACGTGACTCACTTCCTTTTTGAAGGGTTTAGTTTGATGAAGAATGAAAACATTTGTTTAATTATCAAGAACATGGAAATTAGAGAGGGATTGGGGAGCTCTGTTTAAATAATGTTCTTTCTTCTTCTTCTTCTTCTTCTTCTTCTTCTTCTTCTTCTTCTTTATATTCTCCTCCTATTTAGGTATTTTTGTTTTGGTTCCTTTGTATTAGTTGTGGTTTGGTTTTTCTTTAGTTGTTCTAGTAGGTTTTCTTATCTTTCTTTGTACTTCTCTAGTTCTCTTCAACTCTTTTCCAATTTAATTCTCTGGATTTAGTTCTGATATCTTCTGTTCATGCAGGTGGATATATGCATCTTTGTCTTTGATATCATGTTTGCAAATGAAGAACAGTAATTATCTTTTACTCAAGTTTATATAAATTGGTGATGAACTTAGTAAATGGTCTCATGAACGCATTGGCGTTGTTGGTGCACTGTAATGGATAAGGAAGGGTAGTATATTGATTGTGTAGGATGGACCACAAAACCAAATAGGGTAAAAAATATGTGGCATTTTCACACCATTCACAATAGTGTAGTTAATCAATGATGATCAAACATGTCAATCTCAAGCTAGATGCAAAGTAGGTCTGTATGGGAAGTACTGATTTTGTTTATAATATATATCAGGCAAATTATCCTTAAGCAGTTGATATTTCCTTTGAATTTGCAGGTTATTGGGTTGTCCTCTGCGCCTAAGACGAAAGTGTATGCATCTAATTATCTTATATTATAAATCTGCTTCATTTTCTATCAAGGCAAACATGTACTGTGACTTCTAATTACACATTCATATTGATCCTTTTGTTTATCTTGGAAATTATACAGATCTGAAGGATTTGTTCTATGATGAGAAACCTGGGTATTTTGAATATGCAAAGGAAACAACTGTAAGTGCTTCAGTTTATGCTTACTATTTTCAACTGAAATCTATCTAATGAAGGCATATATATGGTACCTAAATGTAGATTGAAGCAGATGATGCTTGCTTAACCTGTGAAGCCACATTAACCAAGATAAATGCTTTCCTGGAAGCTGCACTCCACTCTTCATGTGAAGGAATTATGGTGAAAACATTGGATATTGAGGCTGGCTATTTTCCATCAAAGCGTTCTGACAAATGGTTAAAAGTTAGTATTTGATCTACAGGACTATGGTCATTTCAGGTATTAAATCTGTATAATATTCTAAGCATTCATTTTCTAGGTCAAGCGAGATTATGTGGAAGGATTAAATGATACTCTTGATTTAGTACCGATTGGTGCTTGGCATGGAAACGGAAGGAAAGCTGGATGGTAATTTTAATCTTTTATACCTTTTTCTGTCTTTAGAAATCATTTTAAATATTGCAATGAAACTTGCATTAACTTAAAAAAATTATTTTATCTCACCTTTTTACTACGGAAGTTCTGATAAAAGAATGTTAGGTGAGGCACAAAAATGGTTTTATGTTAGGTGGAGGAAAAGAATGGTTTTGTATATCTAGCAATCTCATATATGGTGGTAGCTTGTAACAGTTGACCCCTAAAATGCTAGTGGTATAGTGTATAGTGGGTGGCTCTGCCGATAGAAGAGGTCTCAAACTAATAGATGAGAAACCATGGGGAAAATACATAGAGGTTAGTATTTTTTACCTTTAGGGCGGTTCAGTTTACCCCTTAAAATCCTAAAAAATTAACAGTTTAAGGGGAAGACATTGGATTTCTGTTAGCTACAACATAATTCCCACTTTTTGGCCATGAGTGTAGCTACCACACCCGCAAACAGAAAATGCACCACACTAAGAATTTTGGCAGCAGGCATCTGCTTTACTAGAAAATCTAATTTGAACTACTAGATGAATATAAGTCCCTCCCAACTAATGGAATTGTGTGGGGTGGTGTATTTAGTTCTGGGCTTGACCCAATGTGCAAACTGACCCATCAAACCAGCAGTGTGACTGGACAACAAATTGTTATTGTAGGTTAGGTGGTGGAAGCAATGGCTAGAAAGTCGGAAATCCTTACATTCATAATTTAGGGATAAACATTAAGCATGTCATTGGGTAACGGGTTTGAATGTTAAGAAGCAACTTTTAGTGTCCTGACTTTTACTGATCATAGTGAATTATTCTTTAATCATTCATGGATGTAAGCCTAAGTTTCTCATTGCATATTGCAGGTTAATGATTTCGTTTTATTTTCAGATGCTCAGTATAAATCAAAATATGGACGGTGATTTGTTTTAGTATGAAATTTTTGGGTGAAACATCCGTGTTAGGTGCAACCAATAAAACAATAGTCCTATCTAACAAATTTAAAATATAGAGGAATATAACCAATAACTATGATTCAATATAGTAAGTATAAATCACCAAAAGTCTGAAAAACTATATTTCAAATAATGTGATTGGAAAAGAATGAGCATGATTATGTCGAGCAATTTGTTGGTAATTATGTTAGAAATTTGTGTCCATCAAGTGAAATCATGAAGTTTTATTGTCTTGCTCATTGGTTGATATGCCATACATGATTACTGGAAAACTTTGTTAACACAACAAATGGAAAATGAAGGGGCAGAAATCATTCCTGCGCCTACAAAATGGTTGTTTTTTATATATGAAAGTGATTTACTTTACCGTTGTTTATCTGGATTTTTTACTGTTGCAGGTATAGTCCATTTCTAATGGCGTGTTTCAATCCTGAGACAGAGGAGTACCAAAGCGTATGTCGTGTGATGTCCGGATTCTCAGATTCATTTTACATAGAGGTATAAATTGTTGACTTGAAAATATTCTGCGGCATGCCAGCTTACTCTTAAAGTATGAACCTGTCTTTGAAAGGATGTAATCCTAATTATATTTTTCCTAACCCTGTCTCTAAAATATCAACCATAAGAAACATCAATGTCATATCTGTTACTTTTGCTGACATAGTTGAAGTTCATAATAGTTAACTGTTAACCCTTTTATGCCGACCTCTTTAAGGTAGTAGTCATTGATATATTCAGGTAAATGGTACTCGAGGACACTAAAATAACATTTTAGACCTTGAAGAATAGCAAAGCAATTATTCAGGGTGGGGTGGACAATTTTTCTTGCTATTTAATCTGAATATTTAAAATCAAAGGAATCCTTTGTATAGAATAATAATTTATTTTGGTGTCCTTCCTGGTCCAATGTGCATTCTGGGAGCAATCTTGGGTATTACTTTGTTCATATCGGCATGACAACATGTTTTGCAGTTTAGAGTTAGATAAAGATTGGTATCTGTTTAGATAAAAATTGCAGTTTAATAGACACTAAAATAAAGGTATTTCACAGTTTTATTATTTTCTATGCCTGCTATCTGTGTTTAGCATACACTTCGGCTAGATCAGAGAAAAAAATGGTGGCTGGAGAGGATGTTTGTGAGGATCTGAGTAATATGTAAAATTGGTGGAGTTTTTACTGGTATCATAGTAATGATGCAGATTAAAATAATCCTTCTTCAGTTAAACTCATCCAGTTATCTAAAACATTGCGTAAATGAAGGTGCACAAAGTGCTTATTGTTGCTTTCTTTTTATTTTTGAAGTAGTTAAATTGGTGGCAACATTCTTTTATCATCACTGACTGGATATTTATATTGCACTGCAGATGAAAGAATTCTTCTCTGAGGACAAAGTCTTGTCCAAAAAACCGCCATATTATCAAACAGGAGAGGCACCAGACATGTGGTTTTGTCCACAAGTCGTTTGGGAAATAAAAGGAGCAGACTTTACAGTATCCCCAGTTCATCATGCTGCAATTGGTTTAGTTCATCCATCTCGAGGCATTTCAATCAGATTTCCAAGATTTATTTGCTGCGTCTCAGACAGAAACCCAGAAGAATGTAGCACAGCTTCCGATATAGTTGAAATGTTTCATTCTCAGACTCGGAAGATGGATGTCACGGCTAAAGAGTGAATGTTTATTTGTTTTTCAATGTATATATATAATCAGTTTTTTAATGTTAATCATTTATAGGTATTATTGAAGACTTTAACGTTTTACGTGTACAGTGTAGAAATTTTAAAGGCAGATCTCTTGGCTTGTCGGACTCTTGGTAGACCACAAAGGAGTTACCCTATCCCACTTAAGTCGTGCTAGCTTCTTTCTTTTGTTCCACTCTCTCAGACTTTATGTCCATATCGGTGCTGTGCTTCCTTTCAGTATTTGTCCTTATTGGATACAGTCCTCTAATGATAAAACTTTCTATGGATTTGATGACTTTCATCTTCAACTAACAGTCTAACATTCAATGCATTTTTTTAGGCATTTTTTTTCTTTTTGAAATGTATTTTTTTTACAGTAAACTTCATTTCAAAATGAATGGGAAGTGTTCAAGAATTTTAAGAGATGCATGGAAAAATACTCAAAATGTTACCTAATGAGAACAGTAAATTTCCTATTCTAAGTCCGAGAGATTACTTGTTCATGCGATTGCTCTTATGTAGAATTGCATTTATCATGACACTTACTCTTCCAAAATGTAGTTGTATATTCTTCCCAGATTTTACACTAAACTCGAACAACTCGCCTAATCTTATTATCACTTGTTTGTCATCTCTGACTTTCCTGTCATTTATCCGGTTGGTCCACAAGAAAAAGCAGAGAGAAAAGAGATTATTAGATTTGATGACAGCAGAGGGGGCATTGCAAGTCGTGAGTGTAGTAATTCTTGGAAGGAAAATGATTCATAGACAACTCTTTGGACAAAATCACTGACATTGACAAAAATATTCATTAGACAATCCAACATAATAATAAATATTATTATTATATTATTATATTGATTCTCCTACGAGTGTTTTTATCACAAGAAATTGTCAATTCATAATGGCCCTTCTTGAAAATGTCATCATTCCTCCAAAGAAGGAATAAAGAGCGTTACGCTTGAAGAAAACATATCTGATTGATGTCTGCTATTATCTTTCACTTCCTCCAGCTTCTTGAGGCCTTTTTTTCATAGATTCCAAGGGCTAGTTGAACCATCTATGCTGAGCAAGAAATCACTGGGAATAAGGAGATTCCCATAAAAGAATAAAAAATATTAAACTATGAGCCGAAGGTTGTAGAAGTTGGGAATTACAAGGTTGAATATTTGAAGTACAAGAAGGTTAATAATGCTTCCAGAATGGTTTTCCTTACTATGAGTAGTGCATCAGTCCTTTGCTTTTCCCACAAGAAAAAAAATATATGAAAAATTGTCATTATAAAGGGCGATTGTTTGGTTGACTGCGACTTGCAAGAAGAGACACGCATCTGAATTAACTTGAGCTTGTTTGAATCTTTTACGCCCAAAATTCAATGAGGTGAGACCGAAAACAAATCTCCCGGTAATATTGTGGTATCAGACTAACTAGCTCATTTGATATCTCATGGCTGCGATACGAATCTTTAAACCTTGAGCCTAAGCTTTAAATTTAAAGATAAATATTAACAGGTGTTGTTAAATACGAAACTATTTTAGTTTTTTACTTTAAGTAACTATATTTTAGCTCCAATACTTCGTTAATAATTGATAAATTTTATTTATTTATTCTTCAAATTTTTTAAAAGTTTAGGTACCTTCCGTTATAAAACAATTACATCTCTTTTTTTTGTACATGTGCTTACGAACTTATAAAAATAATACTCATGACTCAAACTGGGTTACATGTATTAAGTATTAATGTGATTTTTAATTTTTATACTTTACATGAACAAATCAGATCTATTTAAAAGTTTTTATATTTTAGACTACGGAATACATTAGATCTCTAAAGAGGGTTTAGTTCAATCGTGATTTCCTGACATAGTTTTAAACAATTAGAAGAAAAAAGAAAGTTGTTGACATGCGAAAAAATAGTTTCTTTACGATTAAATAAAAAATTATATTTAAATTTTTAAGGAGTGATTTTAGTACCAATACATGAAAAACACTAAAAAATAAAGTGAAAAAGGTAGAGAAAATTAGGCATGGTTGGTTTGTATGTGCAATTAGAGTCGATATTGACTTGGATCCGATACCCGCAGGCTATTATGAAGTGACAAACTCACTCACTCCGTCTCAAACACAGCACAACGGGTGCTGCGTTATGCAGTGGTGGTAATAGAAAGAAGTCAGCACCAACAAACAAACGCATTTCATTACATATTACATATCATTCATTCAACACACCATTCCAAACCCTTCTCTCTCTCTCACTCTCTCTTCAATGGCCGGAATCCGCTTGCAACCAGAGGACTCCGACGTCTCCCAACAGTCCCGCGCCGTGGCTCTCTCCGCCGCCGATCTAGTCTCCGACGACGACCGCTCCGTCGCTGCTGACTCCTGGTCCATCAAGAGCGAGTACGGCAGCACTCTCGACGATGACCAGCGCCACGCCGACGCCGCCGAAGCTCTCTCCAACGCCAACCTTCGACCTAACTCCGATTACAGGTTTTCCCCTCTCTCGCTCTCTCTCTCTCTCTCACTCACTCACGTTAGCGCCTAGCTCTGAACTTTGACTGAATACGAGATTGTATTGGATGAATTGGAATTTGTGTTTTGTGAATTGCTGTTCTGTGGACCAGACTGTGTCGGAGTTGATTTCTAATTCGTTGATTGCATTTTCATTTCCTCGGTTTTTGTTATGCTATGAGATTGCAGCTTCGTGAATATGCCGTTGGATGAAACTCAAACTCGTTGTTTAGCTCTAAGCGAAACAAATACCTTGATTTTGAATTGATGTTAGGAGGAGGAGGAAGTGAGGTGAAGTAGAAGGTTAAGATCTGGTTCGTTTGGTTTTTGGCATTTGATTTTAGGGTAGTGACGGTGGTTTACATTTGATATCCGCTGATAATTTATGGATCTGATCTAAATCTTCGTAACAGTGTGGATTTTTGAAATTTTGAGTTTTCTTTGATGATTTACTGTTGGGAAATGGTGTTTGTATTAATGAATCGTCATTCTGGATTTACCAATGCCGACTGCCTTTTCTTATTCTTTGTTCATTCTTGTGTGTGCAGTTCTGATAAGGATGAGCCCGATTCTGAAGCAGTCTCATCCATGCTGGGATTTCAGAGTTATTGGGATGCTGCATATGCTGACGAACTTACAAATTTTCGTGAACATGGTCATGCTGGTGAAGTCTGGTAAATAAAACTTTGATTGCATAATGTGCTTTGCTAGTCTACATGACTTTGGTGGAGAGATTAACTGTGATTTTAAATGGTGGAGAATTATAGTGATTTTGTAATCTAATTTCGGATCACCAAGTAATCGCATGTATTCAAATTTTATTCTCGTGTTTGAAAAGACAGATGAACATTTTAATGTAGGAACTTATGTAAGATAACAGAATGAGTTGGAAATGTTATTCTGCATCATTTTATACCTAATGTTTGACTTTCTCTGCTTCCCCTCAATGAGTGAGAAATTTGTTTGTCGAGATCAATATTTCATATTTTTCCTTTTTAGCCTAGCCTATAATTCATAGATTCCATTCCTGTATTCCTTAATAGTAAAGAACTATATCTTCTCTCTTTTGAACTTGTCAACTTCTAGACAGTAATGAATGTTGAAACTATATACAATTTGTTGGAAGTGATGCAGTCTTTGGGTTTTCATAGCAACAATTATGTTTTTTCTCTCTTCTATTTTCTGTATGTGTAGGTTTGGAGTAGATGTGATGGAAGTTGTTGCATCTTGGACAAAAGCCTTGTGTGTTGAAATTTCTCAAGGTCGGATTCCAAATGATGTGGATACTGTTAAGGCTGAATCTGGTGAACTAGATGATAAACTTTTGTCTAGTTGGAGCGTGTTAGATATTGGAACTGGCAATGGTTTACTTCTTCAAGAATTAGCTAAACAAGGGTATGGTTTCCCGTTTGGCCATATTTTGGTACTAACTGCTAATATATGCTTTGTCAATCAATATAAAATAAAAATATATATTTCTCTAAATAACCAGAGTCCATTGTCTTTCTCTGCTTCTCTAATTCTGAAACAACAATATTTTCCTTCCTTCTTCTCTTCTCTACTAAAAAATGTGTCAGTGCTTTACTATCTTGTACCAAATAAATATGTGAACACTTTTTTGAATGGTAATTTCACGGTGGCAAAGGTAATAAATTATTTATATCATGTAATTTATAAAAAATATATGAAAAGTTAATTATATTCTTGAATCAAATCCATACATACAATATAAGCTCATGGTCATACATACCATGAGCTATAATGATGAGATTTTTCTATACAAAAATCATGTAAAAATAATCTTATATGTGGTTCATGATTATTTTTTTAAAGGAAATGAAATGAAGGATTAAAAATGAAAGGGGTGTTTGTGTGTGTCTGAAACCTTACTGGTTAAACTTTGATGAGAAAGTTTGTTGGTATTGAAACCAAGCAATGTTCTCTCTAGGTTCTTTCAATTCTGAATATAGGTTGTTTTTCATTTACTTATGTTCTATCACAGACATCTTTTTAAGAAAAATCTATCTTTTCAGGTTCTCTGTTTTAACTGGGACTGATTATAGTGAAAGGGCTGTCAGCCTTGCCCAAAGCCTTGCTAATCGTGATGGATTTTCCAACATCAAATTTTTGGTATGTTCCAGTTTTAGTGCTTTTGAATATGCATATGCATCTATCAATGCATAATTTTGCTCAACTATTTGCTTGTGTATCCCAAAGGTAGTAGATTACCGGTATCTGATATTGTTTGTTTTGCATGCCAAATATGCTGGTGTTGATTAGTGAACATCACCCTATCTGGCTATTCCCCTGGATTCTCAATCCTAATACTGCAAGTATTTTTCAGCAAACTCATAAATGATGTGAGGACATGCAAATTTGAAATGTCTGGATTATGGGCAACCTCTATAAGTTATGTGATATAATACTGAACAAATGGAAGAGGAGCAATAATAGGAGAAATACGGAAATGTCTTAGCAATACTGATGCATGAACACATACATGTGCTCAAACACAAACAGTACATAAAAAAAAAAAAATTGTGTCGGCAAACTGTTTTATTTCACTAAACTGAGAGAATTACAGCCCTGCAAGAAGTGAATTACAGCTTTCTCAAACAGTCCTATGCAACACTAGCAAGAACCAAATAGAAGATAACTGGGTGTTTTAGTTGGGTTTTAAGCTTTCTATTTTCTTCAACTTCCACATTGGAGTTGACATCCCTTTAATTTAGTTACCCATGCCAGTTTAAAGTGAAATCAGGTCAGATGGGTATTCTTGGTGGAAAATGCAAGTTGTTGTATCAATAACTGCTGCTAAGCTCAAAATTACCCTTGACCCAAGTGTGACATAAATACTTTGTGTGATTTTGACAACTCTCCTTGAACTGCTAAATATTAGAGTTTATCCTTTAAAAATCTTAGCTATAGGAGGAAGAATTAAAATATTCGTGTTTTATCAGTTTTTTAAATCAAGCAGCCTTAATTATTTATATTTTAATATATTGATCAAGAAAATTAGACAAAACAAAGGAAAAATTAAGAATTTTGTGATGAGTATTTACTCAAATAGGAGAGACTTGAGAAAGTGTATCTCCAATAAAGAAAATAAGCTGTCTATAGGAGTCCTAGCAAATCAGTTAGATCGGGAACTATTCTGCACTTGGAGGAGCTAGCTAGCTTTGATTCTGTACAATAGATTTCAGCAGCTAACAAACATTTTAACAACAGAAACTGAGCTTTATTACATGAAGTCACACAGGCTTTATAAGCTTAGCTACTTAACACTTTTATCACATTTCATTATGTTTTCTTGTACTTGATAAATTGCATTTAGTTTTGACCTTCCAAATTGTATCTTGGCATCCCTTTTTTTGCATACAAAACATACTTCTTTACATTCTTGAAATGTCTTGCGCATAATACATTGGCTTTAATTATTTCAAGGTTGATGATGTCCTTGAGACAAAGTTGGAACAAGAGTTTCAACTTGTCATGGATAAAGGAACGCTAGATGCTATTGGATTGCATCCTGATGGTCCTGTCAAGAGGTAAGAAAAAATACTGTTGTCATCCGTGATTCTATCATAATTCTATTGGATTGGTGGTATTTTGATTTATCAAACTCTGTTTAACATTTCTTTCTTGCTCTTGTTTGTTCTTCATATATAGTCTACTAGCATGGTACCGAGGATTTATGTTATTGCTTTCTTTACTTCAGGATGATGTATTGGGATTCTGTTTCGAGGTTGGTTGCCCCTGGTGGAATACTTGTAAGCACTTTAAAATTTATTCAAATCTGATTTTGAATGTTTAAACTTACTGCCAAGTTGTTAGGGCTTGTGGGGTCTTCTTTTTATTCATTAAATAATTATGGATCTTGATTTCTGCTTGTTCACCCGCTATCTTTCTGCTGAATTCCTGAATTCCTGAATTCATGATTTAGTTGCAGCAGCTCTAACTAATTAATAATGCTCGTCGTTTTGGACTTTCTGCTTGTTTGTTGTAAGGTGATCACATCATGTAACAGTACAAAGGATGAGTTGGTACAAGAAGTGGAAAGTTTCAACCAACGAAAAATTGGTACTGCTCAAGAACTTGTGACAGGCAAGGACGAGGAGTCGAGCAGAGGGCCCCCATTTCAGTATGTAAGTCATGTCCGCACATATCCGACGTTCATGTTTGGTGGATCCGTGGGCTCCCGTGTTGCAACCGTCGCATTCCTTCGGAAATGAATATACCTGTCATTTTCACCTATGATTTAGGTCTATGGTCAAATGGGTCCGAAGTTGTGTGTGCGTGTAGGTAGATGCATGTTCCTAACTTGTCTTTTGTGGAACGGTAAATATTTTTTTAAGATTTATGTGAAGTTTCGTTACCTTGCTCCTTTCTTTTGGTTGGATATTTGTTTTCATTCGGAGTTTATACTTTACATTAGTAAGGGGAAATACAACTAGTTCAGCGTGTCAAAAAGTTATGTTACTGTGGTTCTTTTGTGACTTTATTACAATGAGGTGGATGAAACAAATATAAAATGAAAAAACTTTAAAACTTCCTCCATCCTGTTACTAATTCTCTCATTTCTAAAATATTGAATGGATTTTTTTATTTAATACCTTTTTCTTACAAAGTAGATTTGTAAAAAAGTTTGGTTAGAAAATATTATATTTATTTTTATTCGATGGGAGAGTTTTACTTCATACCAACAAATTTGTAACTACATATTTACATTCTTCAAATAATTAAGCTAGACTTTTTGGTAGGAAGAAATGGCAGTCATATAGAACAATATCCTTATGATGATTATCGTTTCTTTGAAAGTATTTACAAAAAGAATTCATATTTTTTTAAATATCAAAATTAGCTTCATGTATAAATTAAAACAAGCTTTTTTATGGAGTCAAATGACTCTAACTTACGAATATATTGAACTAGTAATATTAGTTTAGATGTGATTACAAGTTATAATATATATATATATATATATATATATATATATATATAATAAAAATTATTGAAATACTAATAATTTATATTTTATAAAACATAATTAATAAAAATATAGTAATATAAGTCAATAACAGTTAATATATTTATTGCTATTAAGGGTGAGTTTAACAATTAGTATTTATTGAAATAAACTATTAAAGATATATTAAAATATATTTATATATGCCAAAATCTACACTTTTTGTTTATAAATAATTATTTTAGAAATATTAAAAAAACTGTTCACATTTATATTTACTGAATTTAATTATAAAACGGAATATATCATTAAAAGTGGTTATAGAGTGAATATCAAAATATAATAATAGAAACAATTAAAAGCTAATGGATATTGAGTTTGATAAGGATGTATTTTTAAAATAAAAGATTTAAATAATTATGTTTGATTTGATTTTTAACAAATTGTTATAAAACACAATAAGTTTATGGTATATCATAGTTTATAATAAAACGATCATGTAAACAAATATTTATATAATTATTTTATCAAATTTTCAATGACAATTTTTTACATGACAATAGATCTCTCTTTTTGTTTTAACATGACATTTTTATAAATGAGGAGTTAAAAAGGTCGACATCTTTTATTTAGTAGTTTTTTTAAATAAAACTTAATGAATTTAATAATTGAACTATGTGATATTATTTTGAAAATTACACATAAAAGTTTAAATAAAAAATTATATAATATTTTAACTGATATTAATTTATATTATGAAATGATAAAATGTGTTAAATTAAAATTATAATGAAATTTTAGTCAATCATAAATTATGAAATATATAAGTACATAATGATAAAAAAAAATAACAATAAATTTTTTAATTAGAATTTTTGTACAACACAATGACACACCTCTTAATTCAAATTTATATTTCTTAATATAGAAATATTACTTGATATTTATCTTTTCTCTAATTAGAAAAAATATAATTGCTTTTTGGCATCTTTTTTTTTTTTTTTTAATTAAGGAGTTAAAAAGAAGCAAGAAATGTAAATGCTAGCATAATTGGCGGCTAACCATTCTTCTTTTGCAGAGAGGCAAGGAACCTTGGGAACTTATTCTCCTCCACTCACCACAAACACAATCTCAAACCCCAAGTCTTCACTCTCCTCAACTCTGCTTCCAGACATTTCCACTTTTCATATAACCCAAAACTCTCTCTCTCTCTTAACTTTTGCCACATTCCCCTGTTATTTTATGTTCATGGCATTGATTTTGTCCTTATCTCTCACATCTCTTTATTCTCAATCTCTGGTACGCTATTTCTTCATTCTTCTTCCAATTCTAACTCTCTCTACTATTTCCATTCCCTCACTCACCAACGATTGCGGTTTCTCCCAGGACACCAAGAAAATCTCCAATTCTTCTTCCTCTGGTGCGTTCAATTTTCGTTCCACTTATTAAGACTTATGACTTTGCTCCATTCTCTTTCTCATTCGTACTACCATTTCAGCGGGCAGAAGCAACAGCAGGATTGAAAGTTGTTCTTCTTCGCCATCCTTCCAACGAAGAAAGATGCTTCTCTCATCCGTCGCCATTGTCGCCGGAACCTTCTGCAGCACCTCAGTCCACGAAATCGCTTTGGCAGCTGAATTTGCCGATAGTAATATCTCTCTATAAAACTCAACCTACCTCTCAATTTTCATTTTGAATATCTACTATTGCACGTTATTTTATGTTGCAACAATAAGGTTAAACAGATAATTTATTTGTATCAGCGAATTCTCCATTGGTCTTTATCCATAAGCCTTCATTAAATTGTTAGATGACATTCTTTATTTAGTTAGCACCTCTACACATATAAAATACCGAATTAGGAAACCACTATATTTTAGAGACCAAATTAGGAATGTGTATTGAAAATGTATGAAATGTATAGTATAGGGACTGAACAAAGAATGCATCAACGGTGACAATAACCAAAACGATCATATTTTACACGTATTGGGATCGATTTAATAAATTTTATTTATAGGGACCAAATGGAGAATTCTATGTATGTTTAACTAAATAATAAATATCACAGTGTTTTGTGTTGAGCCACATGTTGATGTAGAAATTATAAAATAAAAAATAGCATAGCTATGAAGACTTTCAATGTGACCCATAATTCGGGAATACAGTGCCAGCGCTTAGAGGGAAAGATTATGGCAAGACAAAAATGCGATACCCAGACTATACTGAAACTGAATCAGGACTCCAATATAAGGTGATGTAGTAGCACTAGTTGTATATAATGTATTGGTTGATTAAGCATGTTTTCTATTATTAATTAATTTATGACATCAAGAATACAGGACTTGCGACCTGGGAATGGCCCGACACCCAAGATGGGAGAGACAGTAGTGGTAATGCACCGAGTCGTTTCATCATTTTTTTATTTTAAATTTTTCATTATAATTGATTGGTTAGAAATTAGAACACTCAGTATGAAAATTTCTTTGGTGCTCTAGAGTCTAGATAGCAAACTTTCTTGGTTCACTGAAATGATTTTGTATGGGATTAGCTTTTTGGCAGATTTGACAAGTTTGTGAAGAAAATTGGAGTAGCCTTCATTTCTTCAATAAACCCTTAAAAAATTATTTAGTTTAATAAAATATGGATAGGAAAATTGAAATAGTGTTGAATAGTTTTGAATGGCCAGATTTACAACTGAACACTCTGCAATTATTTTTACAATTGCAAGGGATGCACATCGCATTCTATACAGAATTATTCTCCCTTCAAATTAAAATTATTGAAACAATTTTGGGTTTCTAATCCATCCAGGTTGACTGGGATGGCTACACCATAGGTTATTATGGCCGCATATTTGAAGCACGGAATAAAACCAAGGGTGGTTCCTTTGAGGTAAGAAATTTGCATCTTATTACTCAATGCTGTAGGTTTGATTGATTATTACACATCTGTTCTCCTATTTTTCTATCATGCAGGGTGATGACAAAGACTTCTTCAGGTTCAAAATAGGTTATAATGAGGTGAGAGACCTCATCATTAATGATTAAACTAGTTCCTTGTAACTTGAATAGGATCTTGGTTGTACATTGTGAAGACTATTTCCTGAACAATGTTTGTGTTGTTTGCTTCTTTGTGTGGACCAAGTGATGCAGGATGTGCTAGGGTCATAATTATTTAGGTTACTAGGATAATGCTATATTTTATTTTTTTGTTAACTAATTTTATGTTTTACGTTCGTTTTAGTAATTTTGTATTCCCACCATTGGAAATGGAGTTTCGAATTTTCTCCTTAGTAACTGATACAATGTAAAAGAAAGATCTTTATTGAAACCCCCTTTGTGAAAATAATTATCAGCCTCTTGTGTCTCTGTTTTTTTGGTACTCGTTTATGCATGTACTACACTTGCACAACATCCTGTGATGGCACTATTTGACAAAATTATGAGTGATATAACATGCTTCTTCACTATACCACAAGGATTTCCTGTGGGACTAAATCCTTGTTGGGGTTGGCTGCCACTGTCCACATGACGCTTCCACTGGTGCCATACAACTTTTTTCTATACATGTTTTCAACTGATTCATCATAATTGTTAATTCACTAGAATTAATCCACTATCCCTTATCAAAGCAAACAGATCCTTGCTTGAAAAAATAATTCCTTGCTGCTTTGAAATAGTTCTTAGTTATATGCATCACACTTCTTAATGTAATGCTTCACTTTGAAATTTCCAATGGACATTAACGCCGGATGCTGAAATTAGAGAATATTAAGTGCTCAATTTTGCCCTATCTTTGCATCTCTCGTTTTGTAGACAGTCCTCTTACGTGCTTTTAATGTTCAGGTGATACCGGCTTTTGAAGAGGCTGTTTCAGGCATGGCTCTTGGGGGCATTAGAAGGTGCTGCATCTATTTTGGTAGAAATATTTTATGCTTTCTAGAGTTGTGTTTTTGTCAGAAAACTTTCAACTCTCATTAGCTTATTAAGAGGCAACAAAAAGAATAGTAGGCACCGTTTATGAAAAAACTCAAAACTGGAAAATTGTAAACAAATTACGTGGTGTAGCTTTCTTTATGGTTAGGAAACATTTACTATTATTATATTATAAATTGTAGCCTATAAAAGACAACTCCAATGCACGGCTATGTAGAAAGTTTTAAAAGTGAATGAAATATTAAGAGAAAGTTTAAATTTTCTTCCTCTGTTTCTTTTATTGTGTGTGAGTGTCTTGAGTGTGGGACAAATATTTCCTCAAGACACTCGCATACAATAAAAAAAACCGAAGAACAGAATTTAAACTTTTTCTTAATATTTCATTCACTTTTAAAATTTGTGCATAGCCGTGCATTGAAGTTGCCTTTTATAGGCTACAATTTATAATATAATAATAGTAAATGTTTCCTAACCATAAAGAAAGCTACACCACGTGATTTGTTTGAGAGTTTCTAGTTTTGAGTTTTTCCATAAACGGTACCTACTATTTTGTTTTGTTGCCTCTTAATAAGCTAATGAGAGTTGAAAGCTTTCGAATGAGGTATTGTATGGTCCAATATATACTTGATTTATTTCTGACATTGTCTCCTTTAACTCAAGTTTCTACCATTCCAAGCATTTTCTTCAACTTGTAAAATAACTCAGTTTTCAGTGGCTTTGTAGAAATATTTGCAACTTGTTCTTCAGTTGGAAAATATTCGATTACTACTTCTTTCTCAGCTACTAGTTCTCGGATCTTGTGAAACCTAATATTTATGTGCTTAAATCGTCCATGAAAAATTGAATTTTTGGATAGTGCAATTGCAGACTTGTTGTCACAAAATATCACTGTAAGAGTAATTTGCTTTTGATGCATAGCTTCAAGCATCCATCTCATCCATATTGTTTGTGTAGCACAACTTGTTACAGCTATGTATTTTGCCTCGGCTGTTGAAAGTGCAATTATTGGCTGCTTCTTTGAGGACCATGATACTGCTCCAGTACCTAAATGAAACGTGTACCCCGACGTGTTTTTCCTTGTTTCAATATCTCCTGCCCAGTCACTATCTGTGTATTCAACCAGCTTTACATTAGAATTGTTAGCATAAAAATTTCCCTCAGTCAGAGTACCTTTGATGTATCTGAGGATTCTTTTTACCCCTTGTAAATGACATGCACGTGGTTCTTCCATGAATCTACTGAGCAACCCTACTCCAAATATAATATCTGGTGTAGTAGCAGTTAAATATCTGAGACTTCTTTTTTGTAGAATGTCAACCCTTCTTTCATCACTATCTCTTTTCAACTTCAACTTTTCTTCAATAGGTATTGAGATTGACTTTGAATATTCCATTTTGAATTTCTTCAAAATGTCTATAGCATACTTCTTTTGAGATATAAGAATTTCATCATTCTGTTGAACAACCTCAATGCCAAGAAAATATGACATTAGACCCAAATTTGTCATCTCAAAACATTGAATCATGGCCTCCCTGAATTCTGCAATCATCTTTGGATTATTGCCAATAAAGATTAGATCATCAACGTAAAGGCATACAATAATAATATCATCTGAATTAACAACTTTAATATATAAAGTGTGCTCAAATGGACATCTCTGAAATCCATGTTGTACAAAATAGGAATCAATCTTTTTGTACCATGCTCTGGGTGTCTGTTTCAAGCCATATAATGTTTTCTTCAATCTGTAGACTTTATTTTCTTTTTCTCTAACTTCATATCCTGCAAGTTGCTCAACATATACTTCTTCCAAATTACCATTCAGAAAAGCAGATTTAACATCCATTTGATGAATTTTCCAATTATTTTGAGTTGATAGAGAGATAAGCATATGAATTGTATCTAATTTTGCTACAGGGGAAAATACCTCAAAATAATCAATTCCTGACTTTTGTTTGTACCCTTTTGCTATCAACCTTGCTTTGAAACGATCAATTTCTCCACTAGGCTTGTATTTAGTTTTGTACACCCACTTCACTCCAATTCAGCTTCCATGTTTGATTCTTCTCAATGGCATGAATTTCTTCATCCATTGCTTTTCTTCAATATTGATTATTTGATGCTTCTTCAAATGATACAGGCTCACAATCTGCAAATAAAGCGAAATTGATAATTTCTTCATCAAATGGGTCATTGTTCTTACCTACAACATAATCCTCCAATTTGGCTGGTAGTCTCCGTTGCCTCTGTGGTCTGCTTGATGTTTCTGGCTCATCAGGTGTTGGATCTATATGTTCATTCTCCTCTTCATAATTTTCTAGCATTATTGTAGGCTCATTTTGGGATTTGGATGACCAGTCTCACATTCCTTCTTCATCAAAGGTCACATCTCTACTAATAATTACCTTCTTTGTCTCCGGATTGTAGAGTCTGTATGCCTTTGAATTTGTGCAGTAGCCAATAAATATACATTTTTCTCCTTTATCATCGAGCTTCTTTCTTAGCTGATATGGTACATGAGCATATGCTATACACCCAAAAACTTTGAGATGTCGGATTGATGGTCTTCTTCCGCTCCAGGCTTCTTCTAGTGTTTTTTCACAAACACTCTTTGTTGGACGTCTGTTCAAGATATACACAGCAGTAGCAACAACTTCTGCCCAGAATTCTCTAGGCAGTTGTTTTGCCTTTAACATGCACCTTACCATATCCATAATGGTCCTGTTCTTTCTTTCGGTAACTCCATTTTGTTGGGGAGTGTATCTAGTTATTAGTTGATGATGAATTCCATGTTGCTCAAAATAATCTGCGCAGACAAGGTATTCTTGACCTCTGTCTGTTCTCAATGTTTTAATCTTGCAGTCACTTTGTTTCTCCACAAATACCTTAAATGACTTAAAGGCATCACATGCATTTGATTTCTACTTCAAAAAATACACCCACGTTTTTCTGCTGAAATCATCAATAAAGGTAATAAAGTACTTACTACTGCCATGTGTTGGGATTTCAACTGTGCATAAATCTGAATGAACAATCTCCAGTGGCTTTCTCGCTCTCCATGACTTTTCTGTAGGAAATGATTCTCTATGCTTCTTTCCCAATTAACAAATCTCACACACACTATTGAAAATATTTATAATAGGTAAATCAGAAACATATTCTTTCTTTGACAGATAATTTAATCCAGAAAAATGAAAGTGTCCAAAGCACATATGTCACAACCAATCATCATTTGGTATGATAGAACTCAAACAAGGATATTTTTCATGTTGAATTTTCAAAGGGAATAGGCGATTCGGAGTCATTTTTACCTTCGCTATAAATCTCCCACTCTTGTCAATCAACGTGCAGTTTCCATGATGAATCTGCATGTTGTATCCTTTTTTTGATAGTTGTCCCATGCTTAATAAATTATGATGAAGACCAGGAGCATAAAAACATCAGAAATGAAATTCTGTGAACTATCTTTCAATCTAATCATGATTTGGCCTTTTCCCAAAATTGGTATATTGTTGTTGTTGCCTTGAAGTAACTGTTTCATCTAGCAAAAATTCCTTTTTTCCACACATATGATCATGGTTATCGAACTCGCGGGTTGACTCGTACACCCGTACGAGTCAACGAGTCACGTTACTATTTACGGGTTAACTCGCATATAAACTCATTTTTTTTCCGACTCGGAGTAAACTCGCTGACTCGGAATCGCGGGTTTGAGAGCGAGTCACTGAGTCCGTAGAGAGGGACGAAACGACAAGCGAAAATGTCATTAACATTTCGATTTTAAACCCAAACCAAAGCCCCAACCACCCAAATCGAAAACCTAAACGAAAATTAGAGATTAAAACCCAAATCAAAAACCCTAATTGAAGAAGAAGAGAAGATCGAACAAGATCTGACATCTGTCTTCGCATTTCGTCGTCACCCCGCAGCTCTGGTGTTGTCACGTTGCAACTCTGGTCGCTTCGTCGCCCCGCAGATCAGCCCCCCGCAACTCTGGTGTTGTCGCGTCGCCCACAGCTCAGTGGCGTCGCAACTCCGATCGCCTCGCATTGCAACTCCGGTCACCTCGTGCCGCAACTCTATCAAGTCTGGTTCGTGCGTTGGTATGTGAGGGTCGTTGCATTTCTCTAATACTGTGTTGCTGAATTTTTTTTAAAATTTTATTTATTTATTTATTTATTCATTGAATAGTTAGTATAAGCCAAAAATCTAGTTGGTAAAAAAAAATTATATTATTTTTTTTTATTCATTGAATAGTTAGTATTTATAGAATTTATTCTTTGTTTTATTTATTGAATTTATTCTTTGTTGCATATTTTATCTTTTATTTTAGTCGTCTTTTATAGTTGTTCTAAAAAAATAAATTATTTTATTTTTAGTTGATTGAGACTCGGTGTGCAATGTTTGGAAGTGGGACTACTTCAAATTCTTGTGATTCCAATGTTAATGTATCTTCACCACTATCTAGACCTCCTAGACCTAGAAGTAAAAATGTTTTAGGAAACCGGACCGACATTGGATGGAAACACGGAACAAATGTTTCGGGTAATGGAAACAAGGTTAAATGTAATTATTGCTCAAAAATATTCAATGGAGGAATTTTCAGATTCAAACATCATCTTGCCGGTACTAGATATGATTTTGAACCCTGTGCCTCAGTTCCAGAAGAAGTGAAAGTTGTAATGATGAAAGTTGTGGCAGAAGCTAAAGATGTTTCAGAAAAGAAAAGGAGACGAAATAGAATTGATGAGTATGATGATGAACACATTCAAGTGGTGGATACCACTCAAAGTAGGAGTAGTATGATGTTAAAAAATAAAGGACAAATTCAGTCAAGGTGTTCAATCTACTTTAAATCAACTATAAAGAAAAAGTTGATGCTCAAGTGACGGAATTTTTTTACACAAGTGTCATTCCATTCAATGTTATTAGAAATCCTGCTTTTGCAAAAATGTGTGAGATGATTGGAAGATATGGAGTTGGCTACAAACCCCCATCATATCATGATATTAGAAAAAAACTTTTGAAACAAGCAGTGCAAATAACTGATGTAATCCTTGAAAAATATAAGGAGGAGTGGAAAAGAACAGGTTGCACAATCATGTCTGATGGGTGGACTGACAAAAAAAGACGTTCTATTTGTAACTTTCTAGTCAATAGTCCTAAAGGGACTGTGTTTCTTTACTCATTGGATACATCAGATATCTCAAAAACTGTAGATAAAGTGTTTAAGATGTTGGATGATGTAGTGGAATTTGTTGGAGAGGAGAATGTGGTTCAAGTGGTTACCGATAATGCTGCAAATTTCAAGGCAGTTGGAGAGTTATTGACGCAAAAACGAGAGCATTTGTATTGGACCCCATGTGTTGCCCATTGCATTGATTTAATCTTTGAAGATTTTGAAAAACATTTGAAGGTTCATCAAACTACTATCAAGAAGGGAAGAAGAATCACTACCTACATTTATGGTAGAGCAATGCTAATTAGTATGTTAAAGAAGTTTACCAAAGGTAGAGACTTGATAAGGCTAGGTATGACTAGATTTGTCACATCTTATCTAACTCTTGCATGTCTTCATGAATTGAAAGCATCATTGATGAGCTTCTTTAGCTCGGATGAGTGGAAATCAAGCAAATTTGGAACTTCAATAGAAGGGAGAAAAATTGAGCATGTGGTATTAGATAGTCGGTTCTGGAAGAATGTAATCATTTGTCTCAAAGTTGCTGCCCCTTTGATGGTGGTCCTTCGATTAGTGGATTCAGATATAAAACCCGCAATGGGTTTCATTTATGAAGAAATGGATTTTGCCAAAGAGAAAATCAAATTTAACTTTAATAATATTAAGAAAAGGTAAAATTTATAAACCTTCTCTCTTTCAGATTTTCATTCTTTATTTTGTGTAATTATTTCTAACATTGCATGATTGCATCATTGTAGTTATGAACCTGTTTGGAACATAATTGATGAGAGGTGGAATAATCAGCTTCATAGACCTTTGCATGCGGCTGTATATTACCTTAACCCTCATATGCACTATGAACCTAATTTTAGAAATGATGTGGAGGTAAAAGAAGGGTTGTTTGAATGCATGAAAAGATTGGTCAAGGATGTTGCAGAAAGGAAAAAAATTAATTTACAACTTCTAGAGTTTCATTTTGCAAAAGGACTTTTCTCAATGGAAAATGCAAAAGATTGTAGGAAAGTTATGTTTCCTGGAGAATGGTGGGAGATGTTTGGAGATGGAACTCCAAAGTTGAAGCGATTTGCTATTCGAGTTTTGAACTTAACTTGTAGCTCTTCTGGGTGTGAGCGTAATTGGAGCTCATTTGAAATGGTAAGTCAAATTTGTTAAGTTATTATTTGTTTTTTATTTTTTGTATTTAAGCATTCATATTTATTTATAGGTTCACACAAAAAGAAGAAACCGTTTGCACCAGCAAAAGATGAATGACTTGGTTTATGTCATGTACAACTTGAAGCTCAAAAATAAACAAAATAGGAAAACAGTTGCTCTCTCATTTGATAATATTGAGTCTGATGATGAATGGATAACAAAAGATGGTGATAATGTTGGGATTGAGCCAGTTCAAAGTGAAGGTGATGAGGAAAATGTTGACATAGCTAAACTAAGTTCAGTTGATCCTACTTTAGAGCCAATTGACCTTGATAATATAGTGTTTGATGCCAATGTTGGTGATGCACTCTTATCGTCCGAGGAAGAGGTTGACGGTGATGGAGAAGATGATGATGATGATGTTGGAGATGATATAATTAGAGGGTTGGAGCTAGAAAGTTGAAGTTATTTATGTTTTGGTGATTTGTATTAACTTATGTATTTGCTGTAATTTGAACTTATATAACAATCATGTGTGTTGAACCAAGTTATTTTAAAATTATTGAACTATTGTTTTTTATTTTCATTAATTGTGATGATGAAATTCTGAATTTGTATTATTATATAGAATTTTTCATATGAAATAGACTTTTACGAGTCTACGAGTCGGGTTTACGAGTCGAGTCTACGAAGCTCTCACGAGTCAACATAGACTCTCGAGTCTGATAACCCTGCATATGATCACTGCACCCAGTATCTAAATACCAGATATTTTCATCTTCTGAGAAGTTATTGCTTGTCAAAAATAAACTTTGTGGGTTATTAGAATTTTCACCAATATCCTGGTACTGATTTTCATCTTCTGAGAAGTTATTGCTTGCCCCTCTTCCTCGATTGAAGAGGTCGTGGTAATTTTAATCAGTGGAGAAACAACAAATTCAGACCAAACAATCAAGGAAGAGATGAAGATAATTTTGTACCTGCCAATTGAGGAAGAGGAAGAGGTAGCTATCAAGAAAGTTTAAATTCTCTTCCTCTGTTTCTTTTATTGCGTGTGAGTGTCTTGAGAAAATATTTGTCCCACTGATATCAAATTGGTATCAGAGCACGAAAAACCTTGTTACACGTCAATTGCTGGATTTCGGAGAAGCCTAGTTATAGGAACAATTGGACTCGAGGTATTGAGATTGGCTTTGAATATTCTATTTTGAATTTCTTCAAAATGCTTGTAGCATATTTCTTTTGAGATATTAAAATTCAATCATTCTGTTGAACAACATCAATGCCAAGAAAATATGACATCCAAAGATGATTGCAGAATTCAGGGAGGCCATGGTTCAATGTTTTTATATGACAAATTTGGGTCTAATGTCATATTTTCTTGGCATTGAGGTTGTTCGACAAAATGATGAAATTCTTATATCTCAAAAGAAGTATGCTATAGACATTTTGAAGAAATTCAGAATGAAATATTCAAAGTCAATCTCAATACCTGTTAAAGAAAAAGTTGAAAAGAGATAGTGATGAAAGAAGGGTTGATTCAACATACTACAAAAGCTTGATTGGAAGTTTCAGATATTTAATTGCCACTAGATCAGATATTGTATTTGGAATAGGATTGATCAGTAGATTCATGGAAGAACCACTTGCATGTCATTTATAAGGGGCAAAAAGAATCCTCAGATACATCAAAGGTACTCTGACTGAGAGAATTTTTTATGCTAATAATTCTAATGTAAAGCTGATTGGATACACAAATAGTGAATGGGCAGGAGATATTGAAACAAGGAAAAGTACGTCGGGGTACACGTTTCATTTAGGCACTAGAGTAGTATCATGGTCCTCAAAGAAGCAGTCAACAATTGTACTCTCAATAGGGGAGACAAAATACATAGCTGTAACAAGTTGTGCTACACAAACAATATGGATGAGAAGGATGTTTGAACTTATGCATCAGAAGCAAGATACTCCTACAGTGATATTTTGTGACAACAAGTCTGCAATTGCACTATCCAAAAATCCAGTTTTTCATGGACGATCTAAGCACATAAATATTAGGTTTCACAAGATCTGAAAACTAGTAGCTGAGAAAAAAGTTGTAATCGAATATCTTCCAACTGAAGAACAAGTTGCAAATATTTTTACAAAACCACTGAAAACTGAGTTATTTTACAAGTTGAAGAAAATGTTTGGAATGGTAGAAACTTGATTTAAGGGAGGCAATGTCAAAAATAAATCAAGTATATGCACCGCATCTTGTTATTGGACCATACAATACCTCATTGGAAAGCTTTCAACTCTCATTAGCTTATTAGGAGGCAAAAAAAATGTAGTAGGTACCATTTATGGAAAAACTCAAAACTAAAAAATTGTAAACAAATCACGTAGTGTAACTTTCTTTGTGGTTAGGAAATATTTACTATTATTATATTGTAGTCTATAGGTAAACCCAATGCATGGTTATACACAAATTTTAAAAGTGAATGAAATATTAAGAGAAAGTTTAAATTTTCTTCCTCTGTTTTTTTTTTTATTATGTGTGAGTATATTGAGAAAATATTTGTCCATTGATATCAGTTTTGAGCAACTCCTTCTTGCCATTTCAATAGCCTGAACTGAAGTTTATTTCTTTTGCGAAGAGTAGTTTTTTGGATTACATCTAATTGGAAAATAGCGTCATTCATATCACGCCTACAATTAGCAGTTGTAAGTCCATGAAGTATAATTTAATTTTTTGAGCTGCAACTTTGTCAATTTTAACTCTGAATTTGGGGAACATCCTGACTTTCATTAGTTGAATTGAAATTATGAATCAATCATTTTATTCCATTAAAAATCTGAATACGAAAGAAAATGTAGGCAAATGTATTTTAGTTTCATATTGTGAGGAAAGAAACGTATAGGGAGAGAGATGCAAATTTCATTATGTTTGTCAATGATGTAGGATAATTGTGCCCCCGGAACTTGGATATCCTGAGAATGATTTCAGTAAGGGTGCCCCAAGACCAACAACGTTCTCGGTAAGTGAATGTCTATGTTCATCCACTATCTGAATGGATTATGAGGAAGATGCAATGCAAATATATTTTACAGGGCCAACGAGCCTTGGATTTTGTGTTGAGGAATCAAGGGTTGATAGACAAGACTCTCTTGTTTGATATTGAGCTGTTGAAGATTATTCCGAATTGATTGTCCAAATTCTGAATTGACTCTCAAATATCATCGCCAGAACAATGAGGTTAGTTTCCCTGTCCTAAGCATTGAGAGTTACAATGGACTTAAATTCGTAATGCCTTATTGCTAATTTGATTAACTTATGTTTTGGTTGTAGGTCTACATATTTACAGAGGATGCATGCAAACAACTGTTCCGTCCTTTCGAAATTTTGTTAATATTGATATTTTATGCTTGTGTCAATTGGCCTCGGGAATAGATTCCATGAGTTGTAAGTATATTATGGTCTTTGTTGTTGGTCTCCCCAGCAATAGTAACATATGAAGCATCCAATGCAATTTTCCCCCAACTATTGCGAACTTTACTATTATACCGGATGGGACTGTAAATGAATGGGATGGAACATCATATGATCAATTAGAAATTAGAAATGGTTAGCAGAAAAGTATTGTTTAACTGCAACATAATAGCTGTGGCGATAGCTATTACGACTTTATTTCTCCATTTTCTAGTGTCTACCGCAATACTTTAGAAAGCAGCAATATTGATGGTAATATGAGAACCAAATCCAGCGATAATAACACTTTTGCCCTTGTTTTGATTCAAAACGATTACCATTTTTATAGTTTTTGTGCAGTCTAATGCTTTGTGTGGTCGAGAATAGAGAAATTGGATGAATGAATATATGTAAAATAAAATGAAGTGAAAATTAACGTTATTTTTTGAACAATTAAAATAATCAGGAAAGAGGAGGAGGATGGAAGTCTGTGGAAAAGAGTGAGCTCCATCTGTTTGTCACAATGGAGATGGCATAAAATTTTCATATTACAGTCTTCCTCTTTCTTGGAGTATACTTTGTGATCCATCACCCAACTCCTCGAATGAATATATATATATATATATATATATATATATATATATATATATATATATATATATATATATATATTATGAAAGGTAGCTGCAAGGACATATATATAATCAATTATGTCCATATGCACAACTGATTAAAATCACTGGAAAATTCACATAATATATTATAGTTATTCCTTAGTTCAGTATATCATGTCAAACACTTTTACGGTGAAAATTATATTGATATTAAAAGGGGGAAAATGTAATTTTATTTACAAATGTTTTGAACCAAACATTTTTTTTTAGTATTTATTTTTCACCAAATAATTCTTATTTTCGTTTTATTTTTCTCCTCTTTCTCTTTTTCCACTTACCTATGGCTGTTTTTTTTTATTAAACATAAGTTAAATGTTTACGAAAAAGAATAAAAAATATGATGAGAAAATTAGAAAGATAAAAAAAACATATAATAAAAAGTACATTAATTTGAAATTTATTATCATTCTCTTTTGCTCCTGTGGAAGAAGTGAAATTAATGTTATCCTTTCTCCCTTCAGATCTTCACAGCATTAGTCTTAGTCCTTCATCCCACCCTCTCTTTATGTTTAGTCTGTGGAACGCCTAAGCCTGAACGGCAACATTTAACTAAGCCCACACTGTGTGTACCTGTGGGCACCAAAAAATTAACTAAGCCCACAGTGGGCACCAAAAAATTAACTAAGCCCACAGTGGGCACATCTTGATGCTAGATTATATATGTTGTACTGATTTTGAGATACTTAGGTTTAGGGTTTAGGAATTTTAAAAAAATTGTGTAGAAAAATAAAAATATTTAATAGTATAAGAGAATTATATTAATTTATGAATGTTGTTAATTTTGTGAGGAGGTTATGAAATTTTTTAGTAGAAAAGTTAAGCCCTTTGTATTTTATCAGATAATTAAATTATAATAATTTAAAAAGAATAAAATTATCTAATAAAAAAAACAGTTATAAAAAAATTGATAGTAACAAATTAAAGCATGTAAAAATAACTCATTAGGATTATTCTAATTTTGAATTGGATTTATAAAAGAAAAAAATAAAAATAATAAGGATTCGGAAAGATCGAAGATAGCAACGAAGTGATGCACATAAAAATATGATAAACAGATTAAAGGATAATATTATTTATTTATTTTTGTTATTTGCAATAATATTTTAAATTTACTAATGGCTCCAAAATTTACGCGGTTCTGTTGGTGCACCATAACATTACCCGGTTCGTCTTTTTCAATAAATTCTGAATTAACTATTCAAAAACGACACCGGATTTGGATTTTGTGATTTCATTAGCTGAATTTGCATCCCATGAGATCAACCTAACAATATAATTAAACAAAGCGATTGGATAATGTTTTCAAAGGTAATCAAGTCATAAATTTTGTACTTTTCTTTAAAGTTTAAATAAATTAGGTTTTGAAAACTCATATGGATCCAACTCCATATATAGTTACAATAATATTTTCAAATTATTTTATTTGCAAATTTTTCGTTTTTGTATTTCCTAGCAACTATTTGCTGGTTTCGTCCCTGATAATAAGAGGAAATGACAAAATATATGAACTTGTGTTCTTTCTCTCTATATATGCATAGTAGTGACATGAAAGTTTAACTTTAAATGTTTAATAAACTATCCCAAAATTTCGTTACAAACTTATCTTCGAAAATTTGTTATTTTCTATGAACAACACTAGCAGGTAACATTTAAAATTCGTGAATATATATATATCTCATAATAAAAGATTTAATTTTCATACGAAATTATTTTCCGAAAGAAATTTGTCTGTGAAAAATTTATTATAAGTTTTCTTTTTGGAAAATATTCGTGGAAATTTTTCCAACAGAGATTAGTCTTTGAGAAAATTTTAACTAACTATAAGACATTTTCCACAAGTTAATGAATAAAAAAAATCATAAATATATTTTTTAGAGTGTCTGTAAGATTATTATTTTTAAACTATTGTATTGTAATTTTAAAATATAACTAGTTTCTCAATATTTTTCATTAACTAATTGTGATTCAAATAATAAACCAGATAAATACTAAAAAAATCAAAATCAAGAAAAATACTAATCATGTTTAATATCTAACAAAATTAATATAGAAAATTTTTAATCAAAGAGTTATTAACGTGATGTTAAATAATTATATTTTTTTCTTCGATAGTATGTTATTAAATTTATAATTCAGAAATAACATTATTCTATCAATATTCACCAACATTTACTAGATTAGCACCATTTTTAAATTTTAAATTTATAATTTAGAGGTAACATCATTCTATCAGAATAACATCATTTTCAACCTCACTAATTAATTTAATTTTTAAAATAAAATAAATATATAAATAGTATATATATATATATATATATATTTAAAAATTTTATTTATATAATTATATGAAATAAATATAAATATATTTTTTTAAATAACATAAAAATATATTTATATAATTATATTATTATATATATATATATATATATATATAATATTTAAATATTTATTTTTATTTTTATAAATATAATAAAATTTAATAAATATATATTTATATCTTTCTATATAACATTTTTACATAAATAAATTATATATATTATAACTTTATACATATTATATTTTGCTATATACATTATAACTTATATAATTTATAATAAGTTATAAAGTTATAAACCTAGTCATTCTAACGGTAACAAATTCTTAATTAGTGGATGGAGAAAGAAACTTTCAAAACATTTAATCAAAATTAAATATACTTTTGAAGAAGTCAAAGTTGGTCATGCTCTTTGATTTGGTAGTTAATTTATTACTTAAATTTAATATTTAATAATTTATATATATATATAATATATATATATATATATATATATATATATATATATATATGTTTTTTGAAGTAATAAATCAATTAATATTTAAAATATAAAGATCAAAAGTAAGGATAGAATGGAACATGAACGCAGTTATGTGTGGTGCATCAAGTGAAGACACCATAGTCAGTTTTTTAAGGAAGGGGCTTAAACTTCAAAGACAAGAAAGAACAAGAAAAAAAAGTGAGAAATTAAGAAACAGAAATATATTAGAAAGCATCCATTTGGCACAGTTGTTATTCTCATGTGATTGTGTAATGTTAATTAATGTTACTAACTCTCATGCTATTATTATTATTATTATCATTTCATATTCGACAGCTTGTTACCCAAAAATCATCGTCCTCTTAACAGACTGGCCACAAAAACTCAAAACTTTGTCAACCACGTTATGGGAATCAATACAAAATTCTTCATCAGAGACTCTGAGAGAAGTGTATGAATGTAAATTTTTGAATTGCAGTAGATACAGAAAATGAAGAGGTGAGAGATTTGTACATGATACTGTGAAAAAGAAACAAAGAAATGGCGCAAGAGTTGATTAAAGAAGGGAACATTGTCGCTTATGAATGGCCATTACCTCCCAGTAAAGGACCCGTGAGCCATTAAAGAACACAAATAACTCAAAATTGTCGTTTATATATGGCCATATGTAATAAGGAAAATAACTTTATTTGCTTCATGCACGTTTTCAATTATGGCGAGAAAACGAAAAATGAAACTTTAACTCCTTCTATGATATGATTTTTACATATGAACTTAATCCTTATCTGATTTCAATGGTAAAATAATTTTTCATATAAATATAATAACTAAATCACCTTATTGATATCACTAAAAACATAGTTCGATTTAATTGAAATTATTTAAATTAATTTAAATATGTTGGAGATAAATATACATTATATTTTGAGATGATTTTTTATAATTGTTGATAAAGATTGGACACTGAACAAGAGCATTGAGGGTGCATGTTTGCCCATCACTCAATAAAAAGGGAGGATGCTTCCAGTTACGTATATTTCAACAAACTTTCAAACTCATCATTAAATAGGGTTTCAATAACTAAAATAATTGTAATCCCCTCACAATTTCCACCATACAATACGATCAATGGAGAAAAGAGAAAACCAAATGTTCTTGAGCTTTATACAGTTACATACTGAAGAGGAAAAAAGAGTTGAATCACAATTGCAGATGAACAAGTAGGGAAACAAGGCAAATGAAGAGTGTTCCACAAAAACAAGTGAGACCAAGAGTCCCACAAACCAAACTAGTGAACTCAATTAAGGTGAAGTCGTCTTTGTTTGGTTTGGTTTTGTGGTTAGAAAGTGGGACATAATTCCAACCATGTTGAGATGTGCAACACCTTTCCAATCTCTCCTTCGCCCTCACCATGTCTATCCTCTTCTTTAGAACATCCAAATTCGCATCTATGTTGGTCGATCTCCCTGTTCATTCATCATCATCATCATCATCATCATATAATCAATAATCAATGCAAAAGAAAACCAGTAATAAACAATGAAAGAGAAGCTGATCATGATGACCTTCATCTTGATAGCTTTGAACTTTGATAAACTTTTGGCGTGGACGTGTATTGCTTCTCCAGAGACATGGTCGTCTTGGTTGAACAGAAAAGAAAGAAGGGAGAGAAGCAGCCATGTCAGCACTGTTGAAACAAAATGGTGGAAGCTAGCAAGGTAGAGGAATAGGAGTAGCTTAAATTTATGGGATTGTTAGGGTTGCAGGTACCCTTTGAGTTCTCCTATACGACACCAGAAAGGGTGTTTTAGGGGTCAAGAATGCAGATTTAATGGCATGCTTTGTGGGGAAAGGATTTCATTTATAATAATAACAAATCAAATAGCTAATGCCGCGTACGTGAAGAAGAAAGGGCGTGGGAAAAGTCATGCTTCCAATTAATAAATTATTACACCCTCACTTCGGTGTTATCTATTCCTGGATTACTTCAACTCACGGGCGTCTTTACTTTATTATACCCTCTATGGAAAATTCAATGCAATATTTATTTTTTAATTTCACAAATTTATAAACCTTTTATTTCATAAACTTAAACTTTATCTCTTTGTTCAAGAAATATCATTATATTATATTTCCAACATATATATATTTAAAATAAACAAAAATATATTCAAAATTATTACTTTAAAGGTCGATATTTAACTAAATTAGTATCCTTCAAATCACTTAAAATGTGCAACACATCAAATATTATAATAAAAATTAGAAAACAAAATTATATGACAACATTAAATAAAATTAAATTCAAATAGATTTGTTCTATTTGTAAACAAATTATAGATAATAATCATAACTTTATTATAGATTCATCCAATATATCAAATGCAATTATTATATATATAGAGAGAGATATATTTGGTGCATGTATATTAATTTTTATAATCTTGTAAACACATATCTCCTATTTTTAATAAGTAGTAACTAATGAAAACAGTACTTGACACATTCAACATTACTTACCACAATAGTCTTCAGAAATTGCATGAGTTTTATAAGACATAGTCGGCAAGCGGTATTTGTTACAAAAGAAATACTTTAAATATAATTTGTCTATGTTTTTTGGTCGATTTGTCGGTTTTTTTTTTTAATAGAGTCAGCGTGTGTCGTTTTACTCTTCAACAACAACAAAAGAAAGAGTCACCACTGTCTAATCGCGATATTTTACATGCTTTCCACTATTCTTGAAAAAAAAATGATATTCTTTTGTATTGCAACCAGGGATTATTCAATGAATTTCTCACATACTTATCTTCGATGAATGAATAATCCTGCATTCAATAAAACCATGGTCATAACATGTAAATTGTAGCATACGTGAGGCAAATCTATGCATCAGTTCAATACCTCCTCATCTAAACCTAAATTATTTCAACTAGTTTTTATGTTAGATTTATAATACATATAAGCTCTCCCATAATAATTTGCTAAATAAATATTTAATAGCTGTACTCTATTGGTGTAAACGTGTTCACACTATTGGTTGATAAAAATAAAATAAAAACTATAGTTTGACTTTAAATAATTATCAATAAATTTACCATATTAAAGGTTTAAATTTAGTCAATTGTATAAAAAATATTGTTTAATGCGTTATAATATTGACGTTCTTTGCAATCATATAGAAAATCAGTAGAGAACGTTGAAAATTGAAAGAAAATGCAAAATGGGCCCTGTTCCATCAGTGGGTCAGACCCAATCGGATTTGTTAACGTTGTTGGAGATTTATTGGGCTTACCCAACCCCACCCAAGTCAGTTTTAAACTTGCTTCATAGTTGACAATTAGGTTTAGGACTTTCAGGTTTTATAAATTTCTACTAAGCATGTATTTGAAAATCATTAGGCCCACACATGACACATCACAAAATACAAAACTCAATATATATATATATATATATATATATATATATTTTTTTTACATATAGATGGGCAATAAATTTTGAATTTAAACATTGAAAATTATCTAAGCCTATATCATATTTTGCTTTATAATAAAAACAATAACAATAATAATAATACTTGAATATATTTTCAGACTGGGTTAAATTAATCAGTTTTGATTCTGTTTCTTACAAAACAGTTTCTTCATTTTTTATTATATAAAAATCTATTGTTTTTTGTTACGTTAACGTCAAGTAAGGAGAAGAGAACAAATTAGTGTTCCACGCATGCCTTTTCACGTTTTAGCTTAACGGATTACATTTTTAACAATATTACCGGTAACAATGTAAATTAACGTATTCTTTCTAACTATAATTATTTGAGAAATTAAGAGCAAATGCTTATTTTATGAAAAAAAACCTTTATTATTAAAAAAAATTATTTTATCTTTGTTCTGTTTGACAGTTTTTTTTTAAATTAAATTCACTATTTTCATTCCTTCTAGTATATTATTCATCCAATTTAGAATCTTATTCTTATTAATTTAAAAATCCTTATCACGTTTCATTTTTATTTTTTTTAATTATTATATATTATATCTACAAAATTTTACTGAAAAAACTTGTATCAAATGGCCAATGATGACTGACGTATATTGATTTACCATGTTTGTTTTTAATTTGTTTTTTTAGCGAAAAAGGTTGGAAGAGTTATCATGATGAAGGGCCAAGATGGAATCCCAGTGAAGATTGATGTGGTAATTTTAATACCACAAAATATAAACAGAAAGCCCAACAAACCAAAAAAAACACTGTATTTTAATTTTTATACTATAAATATGAAGAGAACAGAACACAGATGTACAGCGCCGCCTCAAACTCTATCCCTAATTCCTATCTTGTTCTCTTTGCTCGTAATACGTTCGTTCTCCGATCTCAGGTTTTTTTTTTTTTACTTTTATTCTTACGATTCACTTACATCTTCTTTCATATCATATTCGTAATATTAATTATATCTACAATGACAATAATAGTTGACACTCAGCACCACGCATTTTCTTAATGTTAGTGTTAAGCGGTTCGACATGTGTTTTTAGGGTTTCAATGTTTCAGTTATGTTTTTTTATGCTAATTCGATTACGCCTTTAATTTAATTGAATTAAATTATAAGTGTTAGGTTTTGATAGTCATCGGTGTATGGAAAACCATAGGAATCATAATATATGTGTTTGGTTTTTTCATTGGCCTGATATATGAGTTGGTGGGAATCATAATATATGTGCTTGGTTTTCCATTGACCTGATATATGAGTTGGTTTTTGATGAGGGGTTTTGGCTCGGTATTGTTCATTAATATCAATATATTATTATTTATGTTTAGGACTTGCCTTGAGTTTCGATGTTCTAATTTTAACCATTGTTTTTTTCTGGATTTGAATTATAGGTGTTGTTGAAGCCTCCTGTTGTTGGCTTGGAATCCGTGCTAGTTCTGCTGTGGCAGATTCGAAGGTGAAGGCATCACGTTAAAGTTTCTTTCATGTTTGATCAGGCTACTATCCATTTGGGAGCAACTGAGCTGCTTGGAGAGTATTTTTCTTCTTCCCGAAAAAATTATAGACCCTCATCACAGCAGAGAGTTAGCTGTATGCATCGTGAGACATACCAGAAATTTATTCAGTTTTCCGGTTGCGGTTGGCCACCTTCCATTATCCCTGAAGGGGATTCTTCCGGGGTACCCACCACTTTTGAGGCCGAAGTTGCAAAGCTTTGTATAGCTTGAATTCTAGCATTCGCTGCCTCTGAATTAAACTTTATAAGTCAACATGGCTTTACAGAACATTGGTGCTGCAAACAGCGATGATGCCTTCTACAGGTACAAGATGCCTAAGATGATTACCAAAATTGAGGGCAGAGGTAATGGCATCAAAACTAATGTTGTCAACATGGTTGATATTGCAAAGGCATTGGCAAGGCCAGCGTCTTACACCACTAAGTATTTTGGCTGTGAACTTGGGGCCCAGTCTAAGTTTGATGAGAAGACTGGGACTTCTCACGTCAATGGAGCACATGATACTTCAAAGCTTGCTGGCCTTCTTGAGAACTTCATCAAGAAGTATGTCCAGTGTTATGGTTGTGGAAATCCTGAAACTGAGATCATAATTACGAAGAACCAGATGATCCAGCTGAAATGTGCTGCTTGTGGTTTTGTGTCCGATGTTGATATGAGAGACAAACTGACTACCTTCATCGTTAAGAATCCTCCAGAAGTAAAGAAAGGATCCAAAGACAAGAAGGCCATGCGGAGAGCTGAGAAGGAGAGACTCAAGGAAGGTGAAGCAGCTGATGAGGAGCTGAAGAAAGTGAAGAAAGAGGTTAAGAAGAAAGCTTCTTCATCTTCAAAGGATGGCACTGCAAAATCCAGCATTTCGAAGAAGAAAGGAAGTGGTTCTGATGAAGACCGCATATCACCTACTCAAAGAAAAATTGACGAGAAAGTGGAGGCTCCTGATGAAGAAGATGATGATGATGATGGTGTGCAGTGGCAGACAGATACGTCACTGGATGCTGCTCGTCAAAGAATCCAAGAACAGTTAAGTACTGTGACAGCTGATATGGTTATGCTTTCTACAGATGAACCAGAGAAGAAAAAAAAAACAGCAGGAAATGAAAATGGTGGTTCTCAGAATGGTAACTCAATACACTACGGGACTATCGTTGATGAAGTGAAAGCAAATTTGAAGAAAGGTTTTGGGGCAAGTGAATTGCTTTCTCATCTTGCAGCACTTCCTGCACCTGCTCAGGATAAGATGAATGCTCTGGTGGAAGCTATATTTGAGGGCATAGAGAAAGGTTTTGCTAAAGAAACTCTTAAGAAGAAGCACTACTTTGCTGCTGCTGTTGCTGAGGGATCCCAAATTTTCTTGCTTCATGCTATTGAGGAATTCTCTTGCAAGTCTAATTCCAATGCTTTGAAGGAGGTTGCCCTGGTTCTGAAGGCACTGTACGATGCTGATGTGTTGGAGGAAGAGCACATAGTTCTGTGGTATGGAAAGGGACTGAAAGGAGATAACAAGAACTCCAAGATTTGGAAGAATGTTCAACCTTTCATTGACTGGCTTCAGAACGCAGAATCAGAATCGGATGAAGAATAATATGTCCTCATTATCATGGAGGAAGAATATTTTCTACAATTTCCGTTACTTATATTAGCTTGTGTCATGTCATGTCTTTTATTTCCAATAAAGGGTTTTGTTGACCTATGTGTTGAACTACTACACTATCTATGCTTGTCGCGAAGGGTGCATACCTGTCTGGACTATAGTAACATGTACTACTCAGTGTTTTGGTTCTTGGTATTTTAGTTTTTGATGATTATGTTTTATGCTTTAATAAATCGTGTCTTGATAATATAATTTGTGTCTTCTGTTGTGTCTAATCGTTTGTTCAAATGTGGTTGATACCTATGATCATTCTCTACTTGCAGGAAGTACTTAAAAGACAGTTTATAATGGTTTTTTTATTAACCTCTTTTAGTTTTGTGAGAATATAGTGGGAGGGTTTTGATTGGGGGTTACGATAACGATTTGAACTATTAATTTACGATTATCGTTTGAGTCAAATTGCATGTCATCTTATAATATAACTTTCATTATCCTTTTAGTTTTGTTGGATTGTTTGGGAGGGAAGCTTTTGCATAGGAAAAAGATTATTTTTCCGACAATAGCCTCTGTCAGGCAACCTTCTTGAAATTTTATAATATCCTTTTATTTACCCATTGTAGCTTTGTTGGATTGTTGGTAGGGATGGCAATTAAACCCGTACCCGTGGGGACCGACCCGTCCCCGCCCCGAGTTTGACGGGGAAACCCCGAGTTGACCGGGGGCGGGGTCGGGTTCGGGTTTTCCCCGCTTTAAAAAGTCGGGGGCGGGGATGGGTAATGCAATCCCACCCGACCCCGCCCCATCCCGTCACGACTTTATATTTAAATTTAAATTTTAAAATATTAATATTTTAAAAGTATTTCATTTTCTTTTTCTATTACATATAAGGTTATTTTTTTATATTTCACCAATTTTTATTTTTCTTCTACCCACTTTTTAATTTTTTTTATCTTTCTCAATCTTTTATATCAATTAATTTATTATATTATTCTCTTCCTTATCTTTCAGTTTTTCACATTTTCTTAGTCTCTCCCATCAATTTGTTTTTTTTTTCAATCTTTTCAACCAATTTGATGAACACAAAGTTAATCTTTTTTCTTTATCTTTTTCTAAATATTTTACATCAATCTTAGTAGTAACTAATATTAGTTTATTTATAATTTATATTTATTATGCCATATTTTTTTATTTTATTATGCTTATTTATCATATATCAAATTTTATCTTAATAAAATAATTGCATTTTAAAGGATTAAAAGAAATTAATAATTTAAACTTTTATTACTTCAAACTAATTAAATAAGAATTAACTTATTAAATATTTTCTTATAAACTATATATTGACAACTTAAAAATGAATTAACTTATATGTATAATTAAATATTTGAATACAAGTATTATAATAATAATGTTATAAATATTCAAATATTTGAATACAGATGTTATAATAATAATAATAATAATGTTATAAATATTATATATATATATATATATAAATAAAAAATAATTAAATATTTCTTTTACATATATATTTTAATATAAATATAATAAATTAAAATGTATATTTAATTAATAATAACTATAAATTATAAATATTTATTTATATATAAAAATACATAGTAAAATTAATTTATTATAAATATAATTATCTTTTTAAAAATAATATAAATTGGGGACGGGCGAGGCGGGAACCCGAAACCAGCGGGACGGGGATGGGGACTTAATTCTAACCGGCGAGATCGGAGGCGGGACGAGGATGGTTAAAAAAGTCGGAGGCGGGGACGGGAGAGGCAAAACCCGCCCGCCCCGCCCGTTGCCATGCCTTGTTGGTGAGGTTTTCATAAAGGATGTGACTCCCACAATAGGATGTGGCTCCCACAATAGGATGTGGCTCCCACATAGCTTCCATGATAACGATTATGGGTTAGGCATATTTTAGGCCTATTGGGTGTGATTCTGGCACTAATAGTATCAAAGTATTCGACACAACCATGACATTCAATGTTGAGGTGTAGGCCTACAAGTATTCATTAGCCCAATATTCTGTTTGAAATCTAACCAACATTTTAATACTTAATTATGTTAGTTCGGCTACTCTATTATCACTAAAAATCATATGTCTTAATCTTAACAAACAACGTTCATTAACTTCTTAGGGAAACATTAAACTCATCAATAAAATTCAACAAGTGAAAAAGGATTCAGTTTATTATCATAAACAATGTAGGGAACTTTCAATTATATGGGATGCTTAATATTTAGAAGTAAAAAATTCATTCAAATGAAAAAAATCATGAAAAAAAATAACTATATGTTTACTGGTAAATGTTTGTTAGATGGAATATGTTTACGTCTATATCATAACTTATTTTTAGTATCATCTATTTTGTTAGATAGAATATATTTATTTATATTATTTATTATAATAATAATATATTATCTACATATTATATACTTTCTTTTAACTATTATCTTTTCTGTAATAATAAGATCTTAACAAGGAAAAAAAATTATTTATGTATTGATAGATGAAATAAATACTTTTATTTTATTATATAAAATAATTTTACTCTTTTTAACTATTTTACTTTCGGTATCATAATTTGTCAGATAATATTATTTTTTATCAAATAAAACATAATTATCTATACAATGTATTATATAAAAGATATCTTTTTTTTTTCAATATATTTGTTTTTCTATCGTTTATCAAATAATATTATATTTTATCATTTTATCAAATAAATATAATTATTTATATTATTATATAAAATATTTGTTAACCGTGTTGTCACTTATAAAATAATAAGATCTTAATATTAAAAAAAATTATATGTTTATTAGTATAAATGTTCGTTAGATGGAATATTTATTTCTAAGAAGATTGTTTTCTAAACACTTTTAGTGTCATAACTTATACAATAATATTATCTGTTGAATATAATATAGTCATTTATATAATCTATTATATAAAATATATTTTTTTATCATTAATAAAATAATATTATCTGTTATCTTTTATTAGATAAAGTATATTTTTTTATTAAGAGGAGATAATATAATATAAAAAAATTTATTACGATATTATATATTTGAAAAAGAAGAAAAAAAATTATATATATGAAGAGTAAAAAACTTGTAATACATATAAAGACTAAAAATAAAAAATGTGATACATACGAAAAAATTTATTTTAAAAAATTAATAATATGAAAATAAAAAATTACTTTATTATATACTTTAAAACTAGAAATATATATATATATATATATATATATATATATTATAACTAAAAATATTATTTTCACATATTTTATTTAATTATTAATAGATATTTTAATCATATTATAACAATAATAATATATTTAAAACCAATGTTTTAGAATTATTAAAATATATTTTTTAATAAATTTTTACGTAATATTATTATGAAATTTGGTAGGTTGAATAATTATTATTAAAGATAAATATTTTTATTAAAGTTAAGGACAAATAGTTAGGTAAATAATTGATTATATAATTACATAATTATTATATATCTTCCCATAATCAAATATACATTTAATTTATATATATATATATATATATATATATATATATATATATATATATATATATATCGATTGAGTTGCCTATGCATATATGTATTTTAACAAATTTTTATAATTTTTTTAAATAAAAAAATAAAACAGTTAAATTAAAATTCATTTATACATAAATTAATTTTAACAAAATTTACTATTTTTTTAATTTATGTATACACGAATTTGAACTTATGAAAAAAAATTATTTGATTATATTTTGTTTTCTAAAAAACTTGTAAATATTAGATGCTATTTAACATAATTTTATCTTCTAAAAGGTAATCTAATTAATTCAAAAGTTTATAATTCATAGGTGATTTTTTATTAGTTGCTCATGTGAATATTTTACCATCTGAATACATGGATATTAAAAATCATAAAAAAATGGATAATAATTCATAAACTGATAGCTGAAATGATATAAAAAATGAAAATGAATAAAAAAATATACTTTTGAAAGAAAAAAAAGAAAAAAAAAGAATGCTCTAGACGCATTAAAATATTAATTAAAAAAAATTTAAATGACTAGTTTGCAGTTTACACATAATGAGGGCTTTCGTTGGTTGGTATATATATATAGACGTAAGGGCATTAGAATTTTCCAGCCTCGTCTCCTTCACAACCTCTCCACAAAGAGCCGCACCTTCTTATCACTTTCTTGTCATTCGATTCGATTCCTTCAGCCTTGCGTTCCCTTCAACATCTTCTGCAGGTATCGTCCCTTCTATTCTTCGTCTTTTCTATCCTATATTTTTCTCTTTCGAAATTTTCGTTCCTCTTATTTCATTATTTTTTTTTTCTATACGATAGTTTGTATTGTTGTCAAGCTTCACCTGGAAAAACCTAGATCGTGTACTCCCTCTCGTGTTTTATCTATATCCGATCTAATAGATTCATCTCTTGGCCATTTTTATTGTTTTATTATTATTATTATTGATGATGATGCATTAAGATTTTAATGCGATTAAGATCTGAAGATTCTTAACCATATCCTGATTACATCGCCGTGTGTAACGATCTTCCGTCATACTCCAACATTTGGCCGTAAATCTTAACCTATCTGTTTTGTTTGCATTACACTTATTTTGTATTATTGACGATTGAAATTATTTTATATTCTGTTGACTGATAGTTAGGGTTTTTCCTGCATATTTTGATTGTTTCTTATTTTCTTACTTGAAAATTTCTTTTGTATTACGATAATTGATTGTTAATATTAAAATTAATTAATTTGTATTATGAGTTTGATATCAGGGTTTTTACCTGCATGTTCGGAATATCTTGTATCATCTTATTTAGAAAAAGAAATGGTGATTATTTCTTTCAAATAATTGGTACCAAAACGTACATGCCAAAGCCTGTTGGTGGTGTCTGAAATGTCTTTTAATGTGGATTTATCTGGTATGGTTTTCGAATGGAGCCAAACGGTGTACATTAATCTATCTTTTATATCCGTCTGTATTAGATTAGGCTTGGTTTTTGTTGTTTCACTGATCTACTTGATGTTAGATAGAAACACTTGTCCATTATTTAAGCCATTTTGTAAGGTGCTTTTTAAGAAAGATTATAATTTGCCTTCAGGTGTATGAAACATGCAGTATAACCATTCCTTTTTTAGTTATTTGGCGTGTTGTATTTGGCATTATTATTCGATGACTTCTCTGAAGTGTTATGTTGCGAATTTAGCTACCTTTTCTAGTTGTAGTTGATACTAATTTTTCTTGTTGCAATGTAATTAATTATTTTTGCGACCTCTTGCAGCCGTTGTGTTTGCAAATTTATATATACCTTTTACCTTCATAATATTGTCTCCTTTTGGAAACGCTTGTTGAGAATTGTGATTGAAATTATGTAGCTTCTGGTTTTTGACCCAGAATCCTGCAAGTTCTGCAGTAGCAGATTCCAAGGTGAAGGTGTCACGTTGAAGTTTCTTTCATGTTTGAACGGGCTATTATCCATTCGGGAGCAATTGAGTTGCTTGGAGAGTGTTTTTCGTCTTCCAGAAAAAAGAACAGGCCGGTGCCAAGAAGGCTCAGCTGTATGCATCGTGCACCTTATCAGGAACATTCTGATCTCTGTAGTTGCTGTTTGCAGCCCACAGTTTGTCAAGGAGGGTCTTTGTGATCACAATCTGCTGATCATCATCATTTTTGCTACTGTGTTAACTTTGAATTTCAGCATCTGCCACCTTTGTTGTCTAGTGTGTTTCTTAAGACGTTCAGTATTTGATTCAACATGGCCTTGCAGAATATTGGTGCCGGTAACAGTGATGATGCCTTCTATAGGTACAAGATGCCTAGAATGATCACCAAAATTGAGGGCAGAGGTAATGGCATCAAAACAAATATTGTCAATATGGTTGATATTGCAAAAGCCTTGGCTAGGCCAGCTTCCTATACAACAAAGTACTTTGGTTGTGAGCTTGGAGCCCAATCAAAATTTGATGAGAAAACTGGGACTTCCCATGTTAATGGCGCGCATGAAACTGCAAAACTTGCTGGCCTTCTTGAGATCTTCATCAAAAAATATGTCCAGTGTTATGGTTGTGGAAATCCTGAAACTGAGATCTTAATTACTAAGAACCAAATGATCCAGCTGAAATGTGCTGCTTGTGGTTTTGTGTCTGATGTTGATATGAGAGACAAGCTGACTACCTTCATCGTTAAGAATCCTCCAGAAGTAAAGAAAGGATCCAAAGACAAGAAGGCCATGAGGAGAGCTGAGAAAGAGAGACTGAAGGAAGGTGAAATGGCTGATGAGGAACAGAAAAAACTGAAGAAAGAGGTTATTAAGAAGAAAGGAACTTCATCTTCCAAGGATGTTGCGCCAAAATCTACTTCTTCAAAGAAAAAGGCAAATGGCTCTGACGAAGAGCGCCCATCTCCTCCTCACAGTCAAATTGATGAGAAGGACGAGGTTTTTGACAAGGAAGATGAGGATGATGACATACAATGGCAAACAGATACATCACTGGAGGCTGCTCGTCAACGAATCCAGGAACAGTTGAGTGCCGTGACAGCTGACATGGTCATGCTTTCCACAGATGAGCCAGAGAAGAAGGCCACAACCAAGGTAAGTAACAATTCTGAGAATGGTAACTCTTTAACCTACAGGACACTGGTTGCAGAAGTCAAAGCAAATTTGAATAAAGGTGTCAAGGCAAAAGAGTTGGTGTCCCATCTAGCCGCACTTTCTGCATCAGCTCAGGAAAAGATGAGTGCCCTGTATGAAGCCCTTTTTGGGGGCATTGAGAAAGGGTTTGCAAAAGAAGCAATTAAGAAGAAGAACTACCTTGCTGCTGCAGTTGCGGAGGAAGAGGGTTTCCAGTTGTTACTCTTGTGTGCAATTGAGGAATTTTCTTGCAAGTCTACATCCAATGCGTTGAAGGAAGTTGCCTTGGTTCTGAAGGCACTCTACGATGCTGATGTGTTAGAGGAAGAGCACATAGTCCAGTGGTATCAAAATGGACTGAAAGGTGATAACAAGAACTCTCAGATTTGGAAGAATGCTCAACCGTTCATTGAATGGCTACAGAATGCAGAATCAGAATCGGATGAAGAATAATGAATGATGTGCTTGAGCTTGTTACTTTTGTTGCTTTGCGTCTTTTATTCCGAATAAAAGGGCTGGTTTGCCGTTTAGGTTATTGATCGTTGTTTTAAAACTAGACAATGTGATGGTTTGCCTTTGTTTCAGGACTCGTTAAATTATGATAATGAGACTCTCTCAGTGTGTTCATATTTTCGTCTTATGGTTGTTTTTTGCTTTAGCTCTTCCGTCCACGTTGCAAGAGCAATGGAAAACAAAGATCGACGAACTGTTGTGTCCTAGAATTTGGCCTTAGATGGTGGTCTTGTCGGTGTTATTTCTCACTTGTCTTTGGATTAAATGAGTTTTCAATTGCATTTGCCTTACACTTGAAAGAACGATCGAATTGCATCCTTAATTTTCTAAGACATTTGCAGTTTTACAAAATATAGCCTTTTTATTTCCATACTCAACTCCCGTGCAATACATCTAAAATTGTGTGGCACACAATTGACTAATTATACGTTTTGAAATTGTTTGTCTTAACATGCGTCTATAGTTTTTATGAAAATAAATTTCGGCATTTAGTTCACGTTAAAAGCAAAACTTACAATAGAAATTTTCGATTTAGGGTTTATGGATTTCACTCTAAGCAACTTGGATTTTGGAAGCAAAATATATTAGCGTTTTTAATTGGTTATTACATACAACATTTTTTTTATTGATTTATTTGGATAGTTATGAATATTAGTATTCCTTTTCCTGATGTAATGGTAAATGCTTCTAAATATAAAGTGGACAAATTATAAATAGAATTTCCAAACACGCTCTTTACACAAAATATTGAAAATATGTGCATAATAGATTTAAAATAGGAAAACTGCTGGAACTGGTTACCGAGGGGTAATAACGAGGAAATTGAAGATAATCTTGAAGGTAATTTGCAACTGTTGAATAATCATTTGACTCACTTTATTTTAGTAAATCAGATTTAAAAAATGCTTTTAAAATTCAAATTGTTCAATCCTCATATAAAGTATTAATTCAAATTGTTCAATCCTCTAACTATTTTGGATGAAGTTAGAGCTGTAATGAATTTATTGATGAAGATATATTACTTTTTTATCGGACATCACATAATTTACAATATCATAGTGCGTGTTTGAAACTGTGATCAAAATCAAATTTATATTCTGCATTCATAAGTTACTGAGAATAACTTCAAGATTGATTCACATTGATGCTACATTAGACGTGAATTCATCGCCAAAACCATATTTTTGGATATAGTATATAACGACTGCTTCTTATCCTGATATGGCTATTTTTTTAAAAATTACTTAATTATTCTATATCCAAATTACTTCTTTTTCAGTGTGTGACAAACTGAGATTAATCAATTGTGACGAGTAGTTAATGGAAAAAAGAAGTAACAAAATGTAAATTAAAATGGGGTATTCAACCCATTTTATTTTGCTATAAACATTTGGTCATGACTATACTGTAGTACATCGCCAGTGATTTTGATCTCCCTCGTCCTTTTCTTTCAAAGGAGAAGGGTTATATATATTGTATACACCAACGTCTAGTTAAATTGATGGGACTTCCAGACGAGTAATTACTCAAATTCTTCCTCTTCAATTTGTGCTGTTTTCGCCTACATTTACATAAAAGATAATTGTGACTCCATTCTTAATTATCTTTTCCCCTTTATAAGAGTTATCTTCATCAGATGTTGACCACGGAATCACTCTAAATGAATGACACGCAACTGAGACTGTCCTATTTCATTTTCCTCGTGTGCTTGCAAAGGAGAATGCTGATGACCCTGTACCAAGGAAGAAAAAAAAAACTATGGACTTGGATGTCACATCTAAATTGGTGAAAATGATCAAGAACAAAAAAATTGATTTTTCTTACCTGGTATTGAAACTGTTGGATTGCAATAATAGCTTTACCCATTATATAAACTGGTACAATCATTCCAATGTTTCTCAATACTACTGTCTGCAATGCAGTGAAGCAACTAAATTTTCTTTTAGATTAATGCTGTCAAAATGTTGAATTGTTTGTATCATATATATATATATATTCTCTTACCATAAACACTATCAATGAATATGCTCTTTCTCCACTGAGTATGAATAGGATTGGAAGTGTATGTCGTAAAAGAAGAAGACCAAGAAACTGCAATAGAAATGGAAACAATCTTATTGTAAGAATATATAAGCATGGAACACAGGTAACATTAGCACAATACTGGAACAGCCAGTGCCATTCATTTACATGATGTGCAAAGTATATAGAGTTGTTAGTGTCACAATCTTTATGTATTAATCAATTTCTAATTATTGCATCTCTGAATCACCACGAGAAATTATTACATGATCTGGATCCATATGCTACATCATACGGATAAAAGTTGTCGCAAGAAGATCTCGGTCAAATAATAATTTCTCACTTATCACAAGTTTTTTATGCAAAACATACATGTCTAGGGAGAAAAAGGAATTTACAAGAATGGCAACAATGCGGCAAAATATCAGGCTTCTTGCAGAGGTTGCTGATGAATATTCAAAGTCTAGGTCTAGGAATTCATGATTAGCACTAAACATTGCTATGAACTGAGGGTTATGAAGGTCCCTTCTTGAAATCTCCCAGTCCCCTCTGACATAACAATCTTGTATCATCATTTGATCACAGAAAGAAGAAATATATATATATATATATATATATATATATATATATATATATATATTAGGACTATGAATTCAATGATTAGTTAGCATGTACCCAAAATTTGTTTGAGAAGCACCATAGTGTAATAGAGGAGGCAGTGGAGGTGCAGTATAGCCAGGTTTGAGTTGCTGTAGTTACCAGCGGGAAAAAACTCACACACTTTCTCATGAATTTTGAATAAATTATGAGAAAACCAATGTGTGAATAAGATAATACAGTAGAACAAACCTGTTGGCAAATTTCACATGTAGTGTCACCTTTCTCATTGCACCATCTTTGAACACATTTTTGGTGTGCATACTACAATGATCAAAAGAAAAAAAAAAAAGTGTGAAAACCTCAGATAAACATTTGGACATGTATCATGTATGTAGAAGTTAACCAGCAGATATTGAACATCAATAACTTCTCACGTTAATCAACAGCTTCAAATAAATGGCAAGTAATTGAAAAGATTAATATCATGGCTTAGTAAAAATCATTTCAATTTAAGAGTTTATGGTAGGTGAACTCAATCTCACAGACAGACAAGCTTGTACAAGAATAAATTGCAAACGAACATTATTGCAAAAAGCAATGAACAAGGTAATCCTACCTTCAATGTGCCACAACAAGAACAGGGTGTGTCCATGTTTGAATCTTCATCCTCATCGTGGCATATTCGACATTCTACCAATCTATTAGGAGATGACATAATTTGCTCATCCATCTAAATCATATCAGCATTGCTTCAATATTGTTGCACCTCCTCTTTTTTATCTCAGCAACAGATTCAAGGGAAGATTGAACGTGTAGCTGATCAATCAACAAAACAAACTGATTTCTAGCATTCAGCATTAAGACGTTTATCTTTAGAAATTACAAGAACAACATAAATAATTTTGGTGCAGTTTATATTTGCTTTATAATTATGTGTAGATTACTTCTTCTTCTTGTTTTGTAAATTTCCTTGGTTTGCCTAAGGTTACGTTTCACAAGAGAAAAGGGAAGAAAAGAACTTCCACGAACACACGGAAGGTATACTGTTGGCACTCTACAAATGAAACAAAACATTCATCACAGACCAAGTATTTGAATCTTGACATTGCCTACCAAAGATGAACGTTGGCATTGGAATATCAAATTTTTTAAACAGATGCTTGTCCAAATGTTTTATCGGTCAAAACCTTTCTCTCAATTTTCCTTTGCCTTTCTAGGTTTGTGAGAATAATAGTCATTTGTTTCTTTTTAATTTTTCTTAGTTAAAAGAAATGTGCTTCTTCTTATATGTTAGGTGTTAAATTAACATGTATAATCAAATTTTACGTATAGAAGGAATACTTATTATTATTAGCTTCACTTTAAATAATATATTTTATTAGATAAATTAGTTTTTAAATCATGTTAATTATTTAGAAATAGACAGTGAGAAATTCTTGTAAATTCTTAACACATGCCATGCATTTATTGTAAAAAAAAAAAAAAGTTTAATTACGCGTGACTATTTATGAGCACAGTTTGAAAATTGAGGTATATAAATGTTATAAAAAGATACACCTTTGTAATATATAAAACGCATTTTGCCCGAAACACATATCTCTTTGAATTATATGACATGAAATATTGAAAAAATGTTGTTCTTAAAACATAACCATGAGAAAGAAAATAGAGACTCAGAAGAAAAGCTTGAGAAGTTTGAAATTAGAGATTGTGGAAAGAAATATAAAAATAGGATATAATAAGAAAAAGGAAAAGTAAATAATGTCTAACAACATGACATGAGTTGACATTGAGAACTTGACTTCTAATGTCGATATACATTGGAGTAGCCAAAAAGAGATGAAAATCTGAAAAGATTGATTACAAACAGTGATTTTTGGTGCGGATTATTAGATTAAAAGAGAAGAATTTGGCAGGGATGATCGGTTGTGTGGGTTAAAATGGGAACATGTAGGGCCATTTTTCAAGTTCAAGCAAAAAATGGAAAGAACGGCAGGTACATCGTATGCACTTCCTGTCAATTCAAAGTTAACTCAGATGCACAAAACAAATAAACCAAAATAACAAAATATTTATTTTTATATATTCACAAATCTAACTCACTTAAAAATTAAGATTAAAAGTAATTTATATATGTTTTCTAAAAACAAATTTGTTACTTAAAATTTTCTCATAATGAAAATTGACAATATTATATATACATATTTCAATCACTTTAAATTTATTGTGATAAAGAAAAATATCAAATTAAATAACATCACTTTCTGGTTTAAAATATGATCTAAAATTTAATATATATATCAAAGTTTTAGGTTTTGTTAGTATTATATTGCTAATATAATTTTCTGTCTTACAAAGTAATATTTGTATGTTAATATAAATAAATATCCAAGTTCATTCTTATGCTATAATACACAATATTATATATACCAATGTTTAATATATGAAAGTTTTTTGTAAGCTCTATAAACTTTTTAACGAGTATATATGGCTACAGATAATTTATCCGAAATGTATGTTTGAACAAATTATAACAGCAACAATGCTATTGAATAACAATATATTGGTATGTAATAATGTATAAAAATAAAAATAAAAAAATCAGAGGGTATTGATAGTTTTTTAACCTAAACCAATAAAATACTAATTATCTATATATTTAAATCACATTATAAATGAGTTAGAATCTAATTTATATGGTGTTTTAAAAAAAATTGCCAAATATTTCTAAGGTTGTTTGGCTTCTAATTAATAAAAACATTTGATATCTTAATAGTACTGATTTTTTTTAATCTTATAAAATATACCTTGTAATTACCTATAAACCATTTTCTATTGTGGTACACTTACCTTTTCTTTAATTTTAAAATTGATTCACATGTCTTTTAGGTTTTTAATAAAACGATAATCATATTTCCTCTAATTTAAAAAAAAATTCTTATATAAAACTGGACAATTGGCTATTTAAAGAAGTTATAATATATATGTTACTATTTTTTATACTCACTACCATGCTACATTATTTTTATATTAAAACAAGTGATTCCAACCTTAATGATAGTTATTAACATTGTTAGAAACCTCAAACAGAATATAAAATCATTTCACAATCTTTATAAATTTGAATTTTCACATCATGTTTAATTAATACTTAGAACTTATGTAGATTTCATCAAATAATGCATATAAATTACTCAAAGTCATGCCATTAATATTAATGTTTCATTTAAACTATTTTTTAACCAAATTATAACTTACATAAGTGATCTATATAGGTGACCCTAAAACAACTACTATGACCTCTTCTATGGTTAGACAAACGGTGGATTTTCCTGGAAAACAATAATAACATACAAAATTTAGGTCACAAATTCAGTAAGGTCTATGGCTAAAAATAAATGAAAAATTAAAAAAAAAATCAAATCAATGCACAACAACAAGCTTTTTCCTAATTTTCTAATTTTTTAGCTTTGTTTAAGTACATACATAATCACACAGTACACATTTGGACCATGAATAACAAAGTACCACTAGTGCAAAAATGACATTTTACGTCACCCAATTGTCGTCGCATGTCAAAATATTCGATGTAAATAAAACGCGGTGACAATTTTGTAAATAAGAGGTGAAACTTTTATGTCGCATATTGTAGGAGGTGACGTTAAAAACCTCTTTTACGTCGCACCTGGTACAACGCGACGTAAAAGAGAGCTTTTTAAGTCGCGTGGGGTGTGCGCGACATAAAAAGTGATACTTTTTACGTCACGTAGGGGGTGTGCGACGTAAAAAGTATCATTTTTTACGTTACATGGGGGGTGCGTGAAGTAAAAAGTGATACTTTTTACGTCACGTGGGGTGCGCGACGTAAAAAATGATACTTTTTACGTCACATGGGGGGTGCGCGACGTAAAAAGCACTTTTTACGTTGCGCACCCCCCATGTGACGTAAAAAGTATCACTTTTTACGTCGCGCACCCCCCCACGCGATGTAAAATAGGCTTTTTACGTCACGTACTAGGGTGTGCGACGTAAAAAGTTCTTTTTATTCTCTTCATTACCCACTCCCGCATCTCGCGCCGCAAGGGTTTTTTAGAACGACAATGAGAACGACGACGATAGCTACCTTTCCACACCATTTTCGATCATTTTGGCGGTGAAGAACATCAACATTGTGTCTCATTTTACGAATTTGACATTTCTCTCCGATTGGATTCGAGTTTAAAATCGTTTTTGTGTTTACTCGAGGTTAGTGTTCTATGTCTCCTGATATATGTTCAAATTGAATCCGTGATTATTTTTGGGGATCTCAATCACGTCATTGTATGAATGTCTCCACTGGATTGTTATTGAAATATCATTATTTTGTTTGAGTGCATTTTCGGTTTACACACTCCATATACGTGCTTTATTGTTTGTATATTAATTTATTTTTAAATATAAATTTTGAATCTCTAGGAGTGACGAAACTTTATAACATAATATGAATCGAAGTTGGATGAATGCACGTCGTATTAGTGAAGAGTACGAAAAGGGAGTTGATGAAGTTTTGAAATTTGCTAGTGAAAATGGAAAAGGTATTGAATAATATATGGCTTTTTTCATTTAGAATCGTGTCTATAACTAATGTTCTAAGTGGAAAACCCGGAACAAAGACTTTGCAGTTCATTTATCCTAAGGTTAGAAACTTATTATAATAAGTGAATACCATAATTATTGTTTGTATTTAAATTTTGAAAATAACATTATATTTTATTCATCATTTCAGTGTAATAAGCAAACAGACTCATTTGAATGTGGTTACTATGTTATGTATTGGATGAGAGCCATAGTTTGTGCGGGTATAACTGATTCTTGGACGGAGGTAATTGTTTTCAGCATTAGTTAAGTTTATTTAACTTTATGTGTGTTGCATGTTTACAAGAGTCAAATTAATGTTTCAGGTATTTCAAGATCCATCTCCATTGCCAGAATA